AGGAGAGTACGAAAGTATAGTATGAGTGGTGGTTTTAGACAGTGCGGTTAGCACAGAAATGACGAGAAGTTTGACTGTTCTTGGTACGGCGAAGTAGAACGAGGGATGGTGACGAAAGAAAGGTGTCAGAATGTTGGTAATGGCAAGGGTATCGTGTGGCGACAACTGAATGGTCGTGCTGAATGTCGTCAAGTGGTGAGATAATGAAGGTAAGAAGAAAAGATTGTATCCGCGTGACTCGGATGCGAAGCGTGGTGCTCCTTCGCATCAGTACGTCACGTGGCTGACGGGACATGTGTCCGTGTGTCTCATTGTAAAGTTATAGTCGGGGCGTAAAGGATATGAATCCTTACACTAGTCAATCAATACAGTTGTTTTTGGACAAATTTTGGTATTGCTCGAGTAATGTGGATGTTTGAACTTTTCTGAAAATGATCGACCGTGCCTAGTCTTGCTTGTGGTCCACTAATAAGCTTGAGTTCGAGAGGCTGTCGAAACGAATGATCATTACCGTTAATGATTAATATTCGGAAGCTGTGGTACAAAGACGGAACGCACTGTACAAGTTGAGTCTGTCCGTCTAACATTAGCCTCGGGCCATCAGTTTTAGGGAACCTAACCTGCATGATGTCGCGCCGACCGGGACGACGAAGCTGATCTAAGTATGTGGACTTACTCAGTCGAACGTGTATTTTCACAAGGCCGGCACCTTCTGCACTTTACTCGAAACCGCTTGTCTCCATCATCAACCCGTGCATTCCTCTGTCTTGGCTCGTGTCTCCGCTAGCACCTGAAGACCTTACTAAGTTCATGAAGTCTCCGAAGAAAAGAAAATGAGAGGACGAGAGCGTTGGGTGAGGTTATTCTACGTTGTGACAGTATTAGGGTACGGTTGAAAAGTCACTTTTTTTCAACAGCTGTTGAAAAGTGGTCACGTCCTGAGGCCTGTTGAAAATTGTGAAAAAATCCAGGTGTGTGGGAACATTCTGAATGAACTTCTGAGGCTCGGAAAAATGCAACCGGGCCCCCCCTCCCACCGCCAAGCTTATTTTTGACGCGCTATGTTATTCCCTGCACCTGAATCTCTCACACCTACCGAGTTTCGGGGTGTGCTCGAATACTTGCGGACACTGCTACAAAATCTGCCAACTGCCTTGCCTGTTGGCACTACTTTCACGTCAAAATACCTCACAGTTGATAATTATTTGTTGAAAACTGTTAAAAACACCTGTTGATAAATGGTCCGAGGCGGTCTGTTTATAAACAGCTGTTGAAGAGTCGTGACGATTTTTCAACCGTACCCTAATTCTGGGACTCCACTAGATTTATTCACAATTTTCAACAGGCCTTAGGACACGACGACTTTTCAACAGTGTTATTAACAGTTAACAGTTATTATAAACAACTGTTGAAAAAGATCGACTTTTCAACCGTACCCTAATTTGCATGACTCCAAAGACGTCGTCAAGAAGTTTACCATACCAGAAATGGACCTGGTACTACAGTAGTACTGACTTAGGACTAGGATAAGGTTTGGGATGTGTTTCAGCAAAACGTGAGTCTTGTGTCAAATTTTGCATACTTACGGGTCTTATAATAGCAACTAGAGGGGATCAGAGTACAATTGTTATTTGACATCGCCGGTCTTGTGAATGCTAGGGACAAGGTATAAGTATTGCTTTAAATACTAATCTCATCTGTTCACAGGTTTGCTGATGCCCCGCCCGTCATTGCACCTCATACAACAAGTACTTGCTCTATCATTAAGAGAATCACTCCCGAGTTCCCTATGCTAATCGAACTCGAGCTTAGTGGACCACGAGCCAAACAAGAAACGATCAATCATTTTAAAGATAAATTTATCCACATTCCTCGAGAAGCACGACACTTTGATTTGATTGGCTCCGAACTAGGTATTGTACTATCAAATGCCAAAGCGAAAGCGGCAACATGACTTAATGTCACGACGTCCAGCTCAATCTTCAACCGACTACTATTGGTAGATGAAACCTACCTAAGGCGCACATGTAAGTCATGTTATTGAACCCTAGTTGCACTCATACTCACGCCATATAGACCTTGTACTCCAACGCAATGCTCATTCGTCTACTGTGTTCCTGGTTGTAAGGGGGCAAGGCGTGTGTGGCAATTATGTATCCCTACGTGAAATGACTCGATATTTACGCAGAATCCTCCCCCACGTATTTTATCAGCGCCAGCAAGGTGCGTATGTTTCCATGTATGCGGCGGTGTTCACCAAGCTCTTTTTGTTTTTCGTCCATTCAGGGTAGAGCGAAACGAAGGTAAGCGCAGTGTCCATGACAACCGTAGAATAGTATTGTATAATGGGGACAATCGTACTTGCCCTAATGATGTCGACCTTTTTTTATTCCCGTTTTTAAGTTGGAGCTTTTGGACATTCGCTATGGCTGATAAATCATTATTTCTTCCTAGTGATGATGTTCGTCACTTTGTATCCCTCTTTGTCCTTGAAGTGATCCAACAATACATCGCCAAATTGTTCTGTGGCATGCTAGTATGTCCAAGTCTTAGAGCGCTAGTGCTTCAGATTCAGGGTGTAGTGCGCTGATTGTTCCCATGTGCTCCATCAAATCAATGATTTCGTTGATGTTTTTCACGAAATTTTCAAACATTTCACGCTTCTCTTCAAAGGTGTGAATCGAAGGGTCCAGGAAAATCCAGAATCCAAAGAAGGATGCGCTTGCACTCGGCGACTTTCGTGGTGAGGGTCTGCATCGCGAGCCAAAATCTCGAGACGTTTCGTTTCGGAAATCCCTGCGCGAGCCACAGGATGAGCAACTGTTAACAAAACATCCGCAGGATACTACTATCTCGAAGCCAATAGGGCCTAAGCGCACTCGCGAGACCTAAGGACCAGAGATACTTGCGTAAAATGCATAATGTCATTGTATAGTTCACGTTAGCAGGACACTCTTGATTTGAGACCACAAGCGAAGCAGAAATAACATAGAAGCCCTAGAAATCGACCAACTTGATTTAAATTTTACTTGTGCAGACAGATGCCAATCCCATGATGACTAAGACTCGGTCCCGAAAATAGGCCCAGGCTTTTCACTTTTATCATAACGCGCGTGCCCTGGGCTTCGACTATGCAACGATCACTTGTTCCGACAGCTTATCCAACTCAAACTTATTAATGGACCCACGAACAAGACTGGACGGTCGATCATCCAAACATCGCTCGAGCAGTATGAACATTTGTCCAAATTCAACTGTAGCGATTGGCTCCGAGCTAGGTATTGTACCATCAACTTGCACATCAACATTAACCATGATACCAAAGCGAAAGAAGAGAAATGACCCGACGTGCCCACTCAAGTTTTTGGCCAATAACACTGCAAAGTTGGCTCTTAAGACGTGCAGTCATAGTCGAATCCTGCTTATGACCTACTTAATATACTCACGCCTACCCAATTTCTTTTTCAAAACCAAGCCAGGGCAGCAATCGCTATCCTGTGTGCAATCTAGTTCCTCGGTCAGACATGCACCGACAAACATGGGTGTTGTTAAGGCAATAACAAAAACACATTTTTCGTGCGAGGTTATATGCAATCTTCTGAGGAGGTTCTCTGTGAGGATGGGAAAACACTGTAGGACAATAACTAGCTTTTATACCCTGCATATGCTTATTGTCACGTTTCTGATTTGGCAGAGTTGTTATTACTGTCCGATGGCACAAATTTGGTAGAACGTGCAGGAGCGTATCCAGCTGATTACGACCATCGTGTCATGATTTTTTCGCAAATCTCTCATTCATCATTTAAACATGAAGTGACGCTGCAGCACGGCGACAAAGATTGATGTTCATTCTCGTTGTCACTTCCGATTTATACTCGGTCGATATCTCATGCTATTTTCACACGTTGCTTCCTTATATATGGCCGGACTTCGATATCTCAACCAGCTGAGTTCCATCCTAAAGTGTGTATGTCGTTACAGCGAGCTGCTTATACAAACCAAGTTGCTAGGGATCCTTACACCTGGGAGCTCACGGTTTATGCTTATCCCTGCTTATGCTTACACCCCTCAATACTATCCGATTCGTACATGGGTATAAACAAACGAGAATATGTCACATGCGCTGCCGCGTCAGCCAAGTGCTATCGAGCGCCTCTGCCAGATTATCGATCATCTGGCTGAGTCTTGTTAACAACATGAGAAAGAAGGTCCCGCCGTCCCCTCCCATTCCCGATGTCCACTGGTCCGAGAATATGACATGGACCTTGGCGGGCGGTACATCCCTCGTGTATCTATCCCGAACATCAGACTCTGACTCATCTTGCACTCTTCGTTATACCGCTTCAAGAACCACTACCCTAAATGAAAAAGTACGTAGATACCTCATATCTCCTCCTTCCACCCAATGTCGTCTCTATTCATTTCTCAATCAGCAGCGTTCTGCGTATTGCTCGATTGACAACGGTACCAATGCGAATACGGAAACACTCACTAGTGTGTCATTACATGAAAATCGGCTTTTCCTCAGGGTGAGTGGCTCGTGCACACACTACCAATGCATGAATCCTTGCTATTGCAACAGTGACTATTCTTCGTGCATGTGTCCCCAGTATCGCTACACCCGGGTGGTGGCTGGTTGGGAACTGCGCACATTCCACCAACACAGGTAGCATTACTATTGCAACAGTCACTATCCTTTACGCACTGGTTGGTGCACAGGGGTGGTCGTCTTGCTGTGACAGACATAATAGATGCTGTCAATGTAACAATACAGGTGAGGGCGAGCAAGCGCATTGTTTGTTTGGGATGGAATAATCTGGTGAGGTGCTCGAACAATTTCTTTGTGGGTGGATGGTAGTGACGGTAGGAAGATGTATTGATCTTTTATCATCACAAAATGGTTATGGCCGATGATAGTGCCGACCTGCCGTTGAGATGCACTAGTGACGCGGCTGTGACGAGGCCAAAAAAAAAAACGCTGCTGGCAGCTTACCCAACAGGTCTGACTCCATCCCTATAATAGTTGATGTCGTTAGCAGAACTCACACGAAGGGATGGGGCGTCCATCCCTTCGTGGCTGCGTCCTCCAGTTTTGTCACATCATCTTACATAGGGACATCGATTTTCATGTTCTATCGAATTCAAACTGTGTTATAAGATTTAAATTACAGATTTGTGAGTCTCAGATACTCTAGAGTTCTCCCAGGTTCTACTACCCTCGCGTCACCGTCCCCGAGTCGACGATACCTTCAGCAACATTTACGGTGATGAGGTGTCCAGGAGTTTTCAGGTAGAAGATGGAGCAGTCGATATGAAGGAGGATGGCGATGATACTCCACCATCATTCACCTGGGACTAAACGGCCAAACCAAGTGTCACGGTACGAAGCCGCACCCAATATCATCCTCCTCAGGCTTAACGAAGAATCGTCTCTCGTATTGCTGCGCTTCCCAGACGCTTGTCCGTTTCCATTCGTTCTTCAAGTGTCTCGTGTTCTTCCATGCCTTTACGTCTCAATGTTTTTGCATCCATCATTCTCATGGCACAAGCTCATTATTGACATACACACTGTGTATTGTACATAAAGAATCGCATTCATTCCCATTGACCTAGTCCTCTCGATATTCAAACTGTTTGTGCTGCGTGCAACCAATAACAGACAACCACGCGTATAAATCCTGTCTAATTCTCTCTGGTTTGAGTTCGTCACGGTGGTGGCAGACATAGCCAACGACGCATGTCCTTCGATCAGGTCATAGCATATCTGTCGTCTGGCGACAAGCCGGCCATATCTTCATGGCAATACGCGCAATAGCTAACGGACTAAAGTCCATGAGATGTAACCTGTACTCTATCTCGATCAAGCCGTCATCAGATTCTTCTACGCCAACAGTGAATGCATACAAAGCTCGACTCCCGCTAACGCCAAGTTTGCATGAAGACTGGTGGGGGAATATACGAGCATTCAAAGGACCCCAAGATTCCCATGGTATTCTTTCCGAATTAACGAAGTCGAGCTCGAAGAAAATCCTGGTGGAAATTATGAAGTAGAGTTCTGAATCCCACGTGATAAGAGAGATTAGTCGATGTTTAGGATCCGAGATCCATGCTACTTGTGGGGCGTGCATCTGGGGGTGTGAGCTACGTGCAATATCATCTGTCAGAGTGAAACATCGTAGATTCACTGCTGATGAGGGTAACAAAAAGCGAGTCAGCAAGAGCGGTGCCCGAGACATGTCCTCGATTGAATACAGCTTTAAATCATCGTTGCTAACCAAAAATCTATCATGTCCGAGGAAGCAGATGTCGATCTCGTCGAAATCAGGATCTAGTATTGGGCCGCCGAGGATGCACTAAATCGGGTATCGACCGCCAAGTATGTCAACTGATTCTGATCACGACTTACATTAGATGTTGTTGAGTGTTGCCAGTCCCAAATCTGCAACCACCATCTGGACGCAAATGAAGGGATAGGTGGCTGATCACCGTCAAACAGTCGCAATGCGATATGCCTCCCCAAACCTTCTATTTTCGTACTCTTTGTAATAAAATCACTGCGTGTTGGCAAGTTAGAGAGAAACAGAGTTCGTCCAGCGGCTTGAGGGTGGGTGCAATCTCCATCCAGAGCTACAAGGTCAATATAGTACCCCTTATCATACACCAGGCCGCCATTTCTAATGACCGTGGCATAGACGATGGCAATTAGATTTTGCACTGGGTCCATCAAAACATTCAAAACATCGAAGTCGCTTTGATTCTGTTTGGGAAGTGAGCAAAGCGAATCTGGGGAGAAATCACGCTCGATGGTTTGTTGTAAGGGCTTTGGTACTATCGGAAAGATCTTGCTCGAGTGCATAGTCGGTTTCCAGAAGCAGGCATGTCCACTGACAATGGACACTGTTACTCGTGTATGGAATGGTACTGGTATATAGATTATTTCGAAAGAGTGAGTGTCAAACTTGGACCACGCGTGGGATTTATCCCTTAGGAGTTGTAGGCGCTTTGAAAAAGGAATGCGGTGATTAATGAAGACGGGAAGCAGTTGTTGGCCGCCCATTTCAGTGATATACTGAAGCTCGGAGGACGACAGGTATGTCTGACGAAGGGCCTTGCAAAGCTGCCAGACAACCGTCAGTATCAGAGTCCATCTGGGACAACCAACATTGGTTAGTGATTTGATAGTAGCTTACGGTTGTACAACGTAGAATGTCTTGCCAGGGAAGGAAGCTTAGGATATGAGATAGAAGTTCTTCGGGGAGTGACACTAGTAATTCTGTCATTCTTTGATGGCTTAGTCCGCCGTCTGATGCGCTGAGACTCGATGTCAATAAAATCAGCAATTGTAAACGAAAAACTAACCAGAGTTTGTGTCGTGAATAGCAAGCAATTGTGAATAATAGCCTGAGTACTTAGCTGAAGGAACGTAGTGTAGTGTAGAAACCACTGTTCATCTTATTGCTTAAATACTTTCATATGGGCCACTAAGAAACGAACGGACAAAGACATCGTGGCGGAAAGGATTGTAGTACTTGCCATGAATCAGTCTCAAAGGAAGGGCAACTCTATCGATTTGAGGTGACAATGAAGCGGGCGGCCAAAATGGAATCAAAAACACATCAAAACAAATTATTATGTAAGTCCAGCACTGGCTTCTGATGGCCAGCGCGTCTTTCCTTAAGTACTAGATGTCCACTGGAGTCCGCGCATTTTTGGGAAAACGTCTATTACTCCACATCGCACAAACATAAAAAATTAATTCTTTGACAGTTCGATAGGCTGGCATCGAAAGTATAACACCTGCTAGTTTTTTTTTCGAAACTCGACGTGTTGAGTCCAGCGGAGAGTTACCGCGCAGAAAAGTGCATTTTCCCTAGAGTTCGCGCACTTGGTCACACTATGTCACACGTCTGCCGTGATGCCTTTTCACACTCCGCAATGCACCGTTCGTACAGTGTGTGTTGTTGAAGTCGTGCGCTGCGCACTTACTTAGAGGCAATGAAACAATCTGTATGAAGCAGCGAAAGCATGCAATTAATATTATTGAACTGATTATGTGACCGTAAAATATAAAGTATATATCTTGACTAGACTTCGAGTAACTAATGTGAATAATAAGGTGAACTCGGGTGAGTGTGTGCAGGCATATGATAATTGTGATGGGGAATGGTATGATAGTGTGTATTGCTAGGTCCATGATGTAAATTATGCTGGGGAGAGAATGGGTGATGCTGAGGAAGTAAAGTATGTGCAACTTGAATGCCAGAATAAACAGTCGAGGGGGGATCAGACATTGACAGCGTGGGAACATAATGTGGAGTAGTGGACGAGGATGACACTGGTAAGTCCGTCAAACATTGTGAATTGTTGAGTCGACGACGGATTGCAGGCCGCTCGACTTGAAGTGACTCTGCCGGTGCAGTGTTTTCATCAACCACAGTTGTATGCGTGCATTTCTGCCCGTTCTGTGCAGAATTGCGTGTGCTAGAGTCAATGTGCGGACTCTTGGGACACACGGACTCGTGGGACTATCTAGTAGAGATCAGCATGAAGAATGTTTCCGCTTCCAAGCTTAAAGCCATCCGGGAGCAGAAAAGCTTTTGATTCGATGGTATAGCCTCTGACTCCTTCGACTTTAGTAATGGCTGGCGCTGGTATAATTTCATATCGTCTATGTTGAGGTGGAGAAAATAATGTTTTATATCCAAGACAGCTTGTCAGAGTCCCACTGGATGGTTAAACAAGATAGACACTGCAAAAGATATGAACGACTGATGGACGGCGTAGTAACACGTAGGATTTGATTTATGGCCAACCCATGGGGCTCTATTCGCACTAAGAGCAAAAAGTACGCAAACAATTCATTCACTCGACATGTCTACTTCAACTTGATATTGATCCTACCCATTGCTCAACCACAGTCCTATGTGTCGTTCAATTAACAACAGTACCATTGCGATGATAGACATTTGACTCACTGTGTGTTGTTTCCATAGCAGGCGTTAGTACCCTCCTTCTGAGGTGCAAACGGTGAGGGTGGAATTTTGCAAAGCAAACAACTCTTTTTGATAAGTGTAACGCAGCTCAAACCAGAGCTTTTACAGCGGTCATATGTTATTTGACAATCCTGGAGCTGACCTTATGTAGCGACAGACATGATAGATGCCATCAAAGCAACAAAGGTACTTGAATAGTCTCTTTGAGATGGGGCGGACGGTAGGAAGACTTGTTTTATACTCTCGCGATAGTGGACACTCACTGTTGTAGACTTGGCAGACCGGGCCTCCATTTTGTGTAATCCTGGGTATCAGGTGTTTAGGCAGAACCAATCTCCTCCATTCGTTTCGCTCATTTCATAATACCTTGGTGCTACAGGCAGTATGGCTCATCCCTTTCCTCTGAACAACAAACGGCAATCAACAAGATCTTGATCTGGATCTGGACCAATAATTTATTTTGGTTCAAGGAGGTCCAGGACATCGTAACTGGGAAAAGCTTCTGCTTTACTGATGTGTTTTATCTCAGTTTTCCCAAGCGGACTATGAAAATTATGCGAGTCCACGGATGATTTCCTGACGGCTCGTTTGTCAACTCTACAGATCACTAATCACTCGCGTGTCAGTGCCAAAATATCAAAGCAGAAACATGACTCACTATGCAGAAATGACCTTTGAACTGTCATGCAGGTGAGTCACGCTATCAGATCCAGGAAAATTATTGATACTCATGCACATCCCCACTGGGCAGTCTTCACCACTGCTACACCAGTTACGACATGTAGCAGTGCCAGACTCATCAACCTGATGGGGCACAGCAGAGACTGATGATGAGGCTAATGTAGCAACGACAGCGAGCCTGAGTATGAATGCAGAGGAGAAGCGCATTGTTTGTAGTGACCTTGTGATATGGAATCAGATGATTCTGAATACATTAGGAAGACTATTGGACTTTATGTGCTAGACATCGTCATTTGAAAATCGTCTTGCATGGTCTCGCCTTCGAATGAATTCTAGCTAGGGTATAGCATGGGTATACTCGCGGGTCGGAAGATCAACACCGTACCCGTATGGGTATGGGTACGGGTACAGTATCACCTGAGCTAACCCGCATTATAGCAGGCTTATATGGTTCGGATAAAATTAATCGACGAATTATCAGCCTGCTCTTTAGTCAGGTGGCTCTTGGGGAGTTATTGACTAGATCACTTTTAGCAAGTCACATGACGTCGTTGTTAGCAGGCGAAAAGATACTAGTAGCTATTGACCCCATTCTTCTGGCCACTCTGTGTCCAGAGTGAAGAGCACCAATGCCTTGGAGCGTGCAGCTTTGCCACATGTAGTGCCGGATTTCTTGTAAGCTTTATCCTCTTTGTTTCCTTCAAGTTCTGTTGACTGATCGATGCCTCCCATCTTCAAGACACCGACATGTACCACCGTTGGGACCATGGATGAACTTCGACCTCGACTCTGACGCGACTGATACAACCGCCGTGGATTATTTGATCAATTCTGGCGGGGATATTCTCAAAGCCAGTTCGAGTACTGAGCTCCATATCAAGTACAACGAAGTGAGATGCTTGAAAAGTATTCGATGAATCAGTCTAACACTATTTACTAGATAAATGTGCACGGCTCCGAGGATATCGTTAAGAGGTTTATTATACCAGATATGGGAGGAAATGGATTTGGTACTACAGCAGTGCTGACTTGGGACCATGATAAGTTCAAGTTTTAGGATATGTTACAGCAAAACGTGAGTCTTGTGCTAAATTTTGTATGTTTTTCAAATGGGATAGGTTCTGTAGTGACCAGGGGGCCAATCGTTGTTTGTAAATGATTTGACAACACCGGTGGTCTTGTGCATGCTATGCCACACTCATCCGATTTACCTCCGGCAGGTACCCTGATTGTCCGGGCTCCTTTCTTGACAAGTGATATGTGTATTGATATCGGTATATACTCTTCATTAATTCCCTCACAATCCACATAGTCCACGACACAAAACAAAACGCTGTCATCCCTAATCTTTTTGAGTCTACATGGCGCGGAACATCCACCAAGCACCTCCACTCGCAGATGCAGCTCGTGGAAGAATGTGTACTGGCAAAAAAAATCCAGGAAGTACAACGACTCAACATTGCTCTTCCTCGTGATTTTAATGTATGCGCTATAGATCTGACATGGGATGGGTCCTCTGATTTGCTGTACAGCCATGCTAGCCAGTAACTGTCCAGCATAGAACTGATGATGCTCAAACACATCCAGAAACTACAAATACAACTACTGTAAATGGATAATATCTCATTTACTTTATGTCCTTGAAGTGCGTCTTTCCTGACTACGTGGCGACCACCGATGCGCTCACACTTTTCACGACAACTTAGTACATCGCCATTATGCTTCAGAGACAAAATTGGGCCTTTCCTCTAAATAACTAACTGCAACTAGCAAGATCTAGATCAGAATCCAGACCCAATAATTTAGTTTTGTTTCAAGGAGGGCCAGGACATATCATAACTGGGAGAAAACTATGGTTTGCTGATGCCTTCTATTGAACATCTCTCAATCGAACGAAATTTACGCAAGTCTACCGATACTTTCCTGACGGCGCGTTGATCAATACTGCACCAATGTGAAAGCAGAAACATGACTCACTATGCAGAAAATGTTGGCCGAACTGCCATGCAGGTGAGTCGTACTATCAGGTCCAGGAAAATTACAGATACTCACGCAGAGGCCAACCCAACAGCCAGTCTTTTTGCAAACATCATTAGTTTTACAAAAGTTCTGGCAAGTAACAAGCTCGTCGCGCTGATGGAGCGACGTGGTAGTCACTGATGATGAGGCTATAGTAGCAACAGCGGCGAGGACGAGTGCAGATGATAAACGCATTGTTTGTTGTGATATGGAATCAGATCTAATCACATGCAGGAAGACGGCTGGCTTTTATGTGCTGGACATCTAGGCTCGTGACCAGCCTGGCGTATGGATGAACGAGTGGAGAAATTCTCACCATCTCAAATTGACACATAGTCAGCCTGGTTACGACTGGACATCGTCATTTGAAAATCTTCTTGCGTGGTCGTGCCTTCGAATGAATAGCACATCTCCAATGCCAGCAGATTGCCACCCAAGCAGCAATTTCAAGTTGGTGTTGGACTAATGTCTACTGAGGATTCGCGTTTCCAAACAGGCTTTTGACAACTCAGTAAAAGGCTAGAAGCACTGAACACCGGACGTGGCCGTGATGAGCCTTGACGCAGCACTGATGCGCCATTCCTATATGTTCTACATTCGACTTCGAAGGATGGTTACAAGAAGTGCACTCCGTATTTCAAAGGACTCACAAAGGTCATGATACAATTTAAAAAAGTGCAATAAGGGTTTTTTTTCTCTAGGCCATAGGAGACAAAACATAAAATATTTTCATTGCTGTCTATGGACAATTACAGTGTACCGATGCGGCATGAATGAAGTTTGACAGTGACGCGCATGTGACGCGACACTAACACGGCATGAATAAAGTTTGACGCGGCAGGGACGAGGTTTAACGTGGCACTGATGGGCATGTGATGCGGTACTGACGTGGTATGTGCTATGTTGACGCGGCACTGATAGTGGGCCTTGACGCAGCATAGAGTGTGAATATTGATATCAGTACAGAGAGTGTGAAGATGTTCATCAGGAAAAATACCCTTGACTACAGGGTACTATATAGTCGCTGTAGTACCTGTAGTGCAATGTGTTAAGTCCCTTCTACATGCAGCTACGTAGGCACATGACTCACTATATAGTGCTATGGGAACCACTTGTAGCTCATCGTAGCAAGCTACAGGTTGCAATAACTGACACTAGTAAGACCTTGTAGTTGTTTTGCTTTTGACCGTAGCTTGTCGTAGCAAGCTACAGGCTGCAATAACCAACACTAGTAGGACCTTGTAGTCATTTCACTTTTGACCATAGCTATCTACAGGCTGCAATAACTAACGCTCATAGGACCTTTGTTTCGCTTTTTTGAGCTACAGGAACTGATCTATGCCACTGACCAAAATCAACAAAACTGAATATAATTTAGCGCATAGCACACAAAAATGTGTATAGTACCCAAGATATTGACACAGCAGCCTCAATTATCACCTGCTTCTACACTTCCATGATCTCGCGCCTCCCCTTTGATGCTTCTGTAGTCTCCTCCTCATACTCTCAAATTGCATCATCGAATATATTATCAGTGAAGCCAGTGGGAGTAGCCTGAGCTGCCTGGAGTGTATTCACACCAGCATGGAGTCTTCCCAACAACATCAGTCACGATAATGAACAATAGTGGTCAGGAACATACCAAGCAACATCAAGGATAGTGTCAGTGATTTTACCAAGTAGTTTGTAAGCAGAAGTACGCTCGTTGAAGCACTGCAAGGAGCTGAGGTGAACCTGGTAGATGGGAGAATAGGTAGCTGCCAAGAATTTAATGTCTTCCTTGACTCCGGTTATCCACTCATCAATGCAACATTCGATCTGTCAGATCTCACAAGTCAGTTGCGACATCAATACTGGATTGTTTGAACACACTCACAGCTGTGAGTATAAGCGCAATAATTTCAACTGGTAAAGGCTCGAAATATTTACCACAAATAACACCCTCATCACTGCGGTTCATAAACCACATGTCATTCACTGCTGACTGTATCAATTCCATTTTGTAAATGCCATGTTTCATCTCCCAGTCCTGTTACTCTGCCAGTCAGACATTCGCCAATGGTTGACCAAGTTGAAATGAGTAACGCACCTTAAAAACAAAGCATGATCCATCCTTCAGTGATTCTGCCAGGTCATGATTTTGTTTAATGGCCACTGTTGATCAACTTATGTGGAAGCCAAAGAATGATGCCGTTGTAGAGCCTCGTGTCTCCACAGGCACTTCCCTCGAATTCTCCCACATTCCCTACACACTCCAGCTCTAATCCCAAGGATACATCTTGCGCAGTAGCACTTCATATATTTTACTTTGCAGATTCCGTGCACAGCCACTTGCACTTCGCGCGCACCATGCATCCGCGCATCCACGTTAGCATCGTCTGCATACCCGTCCATCTGTCCTCCCCATGTCCTTAGATGTCCATTGCTGCATTTTCTCACTATATTCCCATTTTGACTAATTGTTTCCATTGCTAATTCTCGGCCTAGCGCTATGCGCGCAGCCGAGACCCTATTACCTATCTCGTGTACTATATTTAGCTTACTCAGCTCGCTACATCAGACCTGCGTGGCTAGCGGCACTTAGCCATCTTTACATATACTATCTCTTTACTCTATTTTCGAGGTTGATTTTCTGCCCACTTTCTGTGTGTCTCTAGATACTAAGAATTTTACTCGTTGTTTGCAAGTGACTGTCTAAAGTTGCATGCTTCGGTTCTCGGTCTCTGTCTTGGCATCAGCCAACCTTAGTTGGGGTGTTAACACTTGTCTCACCTCATCTTTCCCTTGCTTCTCTTGCTTGCTTGTCTCTTGCCTTCGCTCGCGTGTGCTACCTTCACGTCGCACACCTCGACCTTCACCTTTCACACTCGCGCATCATTGTGTGTGTTTGCCTTCTGTACATCGCATTGTATCCACTTCGCGCATTACTTAGCCCTAGTACTTCATTAGTTGTTTGGTGTCCCTCTTTTTTTTCAAAGAGAGGTTTCCTTTACTCAGTTAGCTGCCCTTGGGACGATGATTTCACTCGCGCCCAGGTCTATCTGTGTTTGCTTAGCTTAGCACCAACTTCCCCCACAGTTTAGATTCCTCATCTTCACCATGAGTGCCTGCATTTTGGTTTTGAGTTCCCCATGTACATGTGAAGTGTGCCTCGTCATCTGCACAACATATAACATCAATCAGGGTAGGAATATTACAAAGGGACTACTTACCATCTTGACCAGTGAAGGAGTGAGTTGAACCGTCAGGTCTGCTAAGTTAGATGCCTCGTGCCACACCTCCTTGGCCAGCTTCATCTCAACAATAAGTGTTTCAGGAAAGGGATCTCATGTTACAATTAGACAGTGATAGATAGATGTTGCAGTAGCAAGCAAATCCTTAGTGAGCTCGTCAAAATCACTAGCCTTCAATTGTTGGCGCGATCCATTTAACACTTTCATGATTTTTGGCCTGGTTTCTTCAACAGTAGTGTCCTGCAGTTGGCACTTGGTCCTGACAACCAGTGGTGAGGAGTCGCTGTCACTGTGATCCTTGCTCTCAGTGTCATCGCAGCTGCTGTCATCACTGCTGCTGTCACCACTGAGCATTGTGGGTCTCGCGACAGTCACAGAAGCTGACAAATGTGTGTTAGTGTCGGAGATGTACATAACTTAAGCTACAGTACCTTTGTGCGGCTCACTGGTAGGTGAGAAAGACTTTGGAGCCAAGACAACTAGAGGAGTTTTGCTCACACTGAACGTGAGTGCATGCGGCATAGATACCTTAGTGCATACAGAGTGATCTAAGAACTACCATGTTGTGAGCAATGTGGCACCCAGGAGAATGAGACATGACACTGACTATGTTTTCTTCATCCCTGTCAATGTCGCTGTGCAGCTCAGTGGGCTCAGCGTTGAACTCTTCGGGATTTTTTTGGTATGCAGCACACAAAGCCTTCAATTTATGTTTCTCCATCTTTGCCTGTAAGTCTTTGTGCTGGTCTTCACCTTGATGAGATTTTGAGACTGTTGAGCAGAAGTGTGTCAGACACATTGAGCAGGAACATCAAGCTAAGTCCTACTTACATCTGTAAGTCTCTCGTTCGGTTGGTTGGTGTTTCTGACCGCTTGCAGTGTGTCCTGCAGTTGACTCCATCTTGGCACATAGGTCCTCCTGCACCTTCAAAATTGACTTTTTGGCTGGATTCTTGAAGTTTGCTTTTGCCGCCATGATTATAGGTAAGTAACAATGACAACAAAATAGTGGACAGACGTGCCTTTAAAACCCTGCTGCAGTGTGCAATCAACAAACAATTTTTGAGTTTGGTTGACTTGAATGTTAGAGTTTCATCTAACTGAGCGGCATCAATATAACAGCATAAGAGGGACAGATCGACTTTCCTTTCAACCCAGAGATGGATACCAAAGTCGTACAAGGGTAGGATACTCAACTATAGGCGATAACAGATGCTGATGCCTTAGCAGGGCTGTTGCTCCTTTGAGTCGTCCCCTTCATGTAGTTCGTGCTCCAGGGCAGGCCAATGGGGGTCCTAAGGTCCTGTATCCATTGCCACCATTTCGTCAAACACCTGGACCCATCCAAGCATCTCAGACTTACCTTTAAACACTTATATTAGAATGCTGGGATGCTGAGATAAGGCGCTGTGAAGAGGCATGCAAAGCGCAACTCTTAGAGCGCATCTAGGGTCCTGATACTCACCAAACCTTTGTGCGGGAGATGATAGTTGTGCATTGGAATGCAGAGAAGAAGCATTGTGAGGAGGCACGCAAAGTCCAATTGTTGGAGCTGCTAATTGCAGTTCATGGCATCACTACTCTAGTTTAGTCAGTTTTGTCAGTTGTAATTCAGGCAAGAATGATGGTGTACATGTAGGCGCCAGGCAATCTTAGAAGAAAATTTTACCATTGATGGTGGAGGGCGGTTTGACCATCAAAGGTGGCAGGCAATCTTGTGGGATCTTAGAAGAAAATTTTACCATCGATGGCGAGAGCTCAGGGCGAGGGCAGTGAAAAATGAAATGTTGCCTCAGTGGGTTGTGTTGGTGTGTGGAGTCATGTAGTGTTGTGTGTTGTGGCATCAACGGTACTAGTAAGTAGTTGCTGTAATGACAGCACTGGACGGACGAACCATGCCTCTACAAACCATACCTCACTGTGTATTCTGCAGCAAGGTAACAACAACACGCAAAGGTCTCAAGAGACACATCACAGGACGTCCTGAATGTCAAAGGCAATGGGCATTAATGTTTGAAGATATTGAAGCAGATAATTTGGATGCACCTGATGATGGCCCAGACAGCCCACCGCCTATCAACTTTTCCCATGTTCACCCCCACCCAGACAGCGAAACTCGTTGTGTCACCATTGAAGAAGTTGAGGATGATGGCGGGACACAATTTGGGCATTATTTCGAACCTATACCAGATGCTGGATGGGCACTGCGTGAGGGAGAGACAAAATTTGAAGGATATAGGAGATATCAAGAGGAAGATGGCGAGGATTCATATTCTCCCTTTGAAAACGCGTAAGTGCTCAAATGTGCGGTAAGGGGATCTCAAGATATATGACTCACTAGGGAAGAGTGGGATTTGGCCCAATGGCTCATTAAAAATGTTGGTCAGACACAGACTGAGGAGTTTTTGAAGTTACTAATAGTATGTTGAAAGCATCGACTGAACTCACAATGTTGATACCATGACTAGACACAAAACCATACAAAACTCTCATTTCATAACAACCGCTCATTCTTGCAGAAGATTGACGAACTTCCACATGAACCAGGATGGAGTTGTAGGAAGATTATTGTGCGTGGTAACCTTGAAGATGAGAATGAAGCACCATTGCAAGAAGAGCTTGAACTTTGGAGCCATGATCCTGTAGAGTGTGTCAAAGAGCTTATCAGCAACCCTTTCTTCAAGGAAGATATGGCCTACTCACCTGCCAGAGCATATGCAGACTGCACAGGGCAACATAGAGTGATTGATGAGATGTGGATGGCTAACTGGTGGGGCAAGACTCAAGTAAGACTGTTTGAGAAAGAACAACAAAGAAATGTACTGACCTTGTGAGCAAAAAGCCCTGCCCAAAGGTGCCACAATAGTACCAATTATTCTATCATTGGACAAAACCAGCTTATCGCAGTTCAAAGGAGACAAGTCAGCATGGCCTGTGTATATGTCTATTGGCAATATCGCTAAAGCAAAAAGGCATCAGGCATCAGCACGAGCCACAGTGCTTATTGGTTACTTACCCGCAGGAAAGCTAGACTGCTTCACTTCTGATGTGTGCTCTCTGGCTGGATACAGACTCTTTCATCATTGCATGGCCCTACTCCTCCATACTCTCATTGCTGCTGGACAAAACAGAGTCAAAATGGTGTGTGCGGACTCGCTGGTTTGTCATGTCTACCCGATACTGGCTGCATATGTTGCTGATTTTCCCAAGCAGTGTTTGGTTTCCTGTTGTAAAGAGAATCAGTGTCCCAAGTGTCTGGTGGCAGCGAATGAGCGAGGCAATGGATTCGAGTCTGCGTTGCACGATCCAGAGTCAACAAAAGATATTCTAGAAAGGCGCAATATTGGTCAGCATCCTCCAGAATTTGAGGAGAATGGTCTACGTGCGGTTTATAAACTGTTCTGGGCCGAAATGCCTCATGCCAACATTTTCCTGGCTTTCACCCCCAATCTTTTGCATCAAATCCATAAAGGCATGTTTAAAGACCACCTCGTGAAGTGGTGCATCAATATTATCAGGGAAGATGAGATGGATGCATGATTCAAGGCCATCCCGGATTATCCAGGACTCCATCACTTCAAGAAAGGTATTTTGACTGTGAAACAATGGACAGGAAGTGAGCATAAAGAGATGCAGCGAGTGTTTATTGGCTTACTTACCGGAGCGGTGCCTAGGTGTGTGTGTGATGTCATTGAAGATGGTTGTTTGTTGATGTCGTGCTGCACAGTTGTGTCTTGGTAGTTGCACAATCAATTCTTGACTTTTCCTATTATTGTTACAAGAACATCTAGACGCTTGGGCCCCTACCATTTTTCTCCTAATCCTCCTCGTATCAGCCCTCGCGTCATACCCTTACCCCGACCTCACCCTTGTCATCCTTGTCATCCTCGCATTCCCTTTCGCTCTCTACCTGTCGCTTCAGCAAAGCCAGTACATCTGGCCGGATCCTTTCGCTGACGAAGCATACCCATGCTTCATTCCACCACCTGACTGATCCTGTGGACAGTCCCCTTGCCCTTACTGTCCGGACGGTAACCTATGATACGATGCATGACACATCCCCTTTGCCCCTTTCCCTTTCTTGATCTCTGACTCAGTGCGCAGTCGCACATGCGACTTATACTTAGCTCCGTAGTTGCACGATCGTGCCCTGCGCGTTTCACTTCTTATTTTTGATCTTTGACTCACTTTCTTATCCGCACGTTCAGGATTCACCCGTGTCTCACCTCGAACGTGCCTTCCTTTTATGGTCATACCCTTCACCGATTGCTTCTCTTGGTAGTACGAGTTATCACCCACTAATACGCTTCCTATCCTCTATATAAACTCGCTACCATGTAACATATTCCCTAACTTGAATCTACTTGGTTCTTGACCTCCTACTCTCACCAGAGTGATCCTTTCTGCCTAGCCAGCAGTCTATATTCTATCTTCTTATCTGCTCTTCGCGGATAAGTCCTTAGTCTCGATCTTTACTCATCGACTTCGTCGACGAGCAAAGCCCCTGTTAACTAGTTGGACTTCCGTCCTTCTAATTAACGACAATCTTACGATTAACCTTCGGGTGTCATAAGTCTTGGCAGATACAGCTCATCGTCTAGCATCCGCTTGACGTAAGCTACCCGATTTGGACATAGGCGTCAAATCTTACTTGCCAAAGCCTTGCCAAGCAAGACCCCTAACCTTGGGCTAGCCCAAGGACGTCCTCGACCATTGACGACACACGCTCTGTTTGAGCGTCGCCAACAGATACCATCCAAGTCGTAACAATTATGCCCGGCTCCAAATTCACACAACTGACACGCTCGAAGCCCTACAAACTGCCTTGGGAGTCTTTCATGCGAATAAAGATGTCCTGAAGGAACTCGCCATTTGAGAACATTTAAATATACCAAAAATACATCAACTCACTCATTACATCCAGTCAATCATGTTGTTTGGTGTAGCTGATGGCTTTAACACCAAGCTTCCTGAGCGCTTGCACATTGATTTTGCAAAGGACACTTACCGTGCTAGCAACAAACGGGACTATGAAGAACAGATGGTTTTGTGGCTTCAACATCAGGAAGCAGTGTTTTTGCGTGGTGCATACCTGAATTGGATATCACAACAGCCTCCCCTGCCAGCAGGTCGCACAGAGCATCATTCCTTCAACTTGGACTCAGACTTGGAAGAAAAAGAGGCTGCATCTCCCAACTTGAACACAACGACAACAGGGAACACCCTCACAAAGGTTTCGGCACATCCTCACCAGACAGTTGAAAAGATTGTGACAGTGCATGGTGCTATCAATTTTCTCTCCGCTCTGCAAACTTTCCTGCGCAAGAACCTTCCACATATCACCATCATACCTGGCATTCATGACCATTTCAATATTTATTGTCAAGTGGTCATCGAGGCACCACCAGATCAACGAGTGAGCGACACTCCCAACTGGTGGCACGTTAGAGCAAGGCCAGAAGTGGTAGCATCTGGCCATAAGCCTGGTTGCCCTGCTCGTTTTGACATGGCATTGATCTCAGATGGGCCTCGGTCTTTGCCCTTGCGCACTCTTGAAGGTTTTTTTTTTTTGGACTTGTTGACACTTATATTTGACTGTGATGTGTTGCAGGTGTGTGAGTAGCTCAGGTTCGCGCTATATTCAGCCTCCCTTGTCAGTTCGGCATATACCCCAGAGCCCTTGCTTACATTGAGTGGATTACGCCTTTCAGACATCCAGACCCTTCCTCTCGGTTGCAACAAGTCTCTTGCTCAACACACCAACTCCGCTGCAACGCTGCTGTCATCCATGTCGATGAAATTGTACGACCGTGTCACCTAATACCAAAGATGGGACAATCAGTGGATATAACATTGAGAAGTGGAAATGCATATGAGGCGGCAAATGATTTTTATTTTAATCAATTAATTGACGGCGAGATGTTTGGCGTGTCTGTCATAAATAGTTTGTAGTAAGTATATAGTGTCATGTGTCGGGTGCAACCTGTAGCCATCTGCAGTCACTTGTTTGCCTGACTGAGTTCCATAGCTGTGTGTAGTGAAGCCGGGTGCAACCTGTAGCCATCTGCAGTCACTTTTTTTGCCTGACTGAGTTCCATAGCTGCCTGTAGTGAAGCTTTGCACTACATAGTACTACATAGCTCGAAATAGTATTGCACGTGCCTATATATTGCTACAGTGCCTATGAGTGCCTACATAGTGCTATATAGCTGCCACCAGGACTATGGCAATATAGTGTTTTTCCTGATGTTTGGGAGAACTTGTCGTGGTATGAGTGGTGCTCGACCCAGCCTAAACGAGGCTTCTGACATGCCATTTTGGGGCTTGACGCTTGACGTGGTGGTGCAGAGTATAGAGAGTGGATCGAGCTTGACAGAGTGAAGTCAAGGCTTGACACAGTGAGACAATACTTGATACTGTGTCTGAAAGCCAACATAGATGAACAAATTAGAGGTAATACAACATTGATACAGGACTGACGTGCAAGATGTATACTAGTAGTGTAAGCACTGAGTCGGAGGACAAGGACTGTAAATTTAGTAAGAAGTGAATACAACATTATAGAGCCTGTACGCAGGCAGACACTCATCTATTGATCATTAAGCTTAAGGATAATATTAATGGGAGGATTGAAAGCAAGATTGAAAAATATCTGTATCCTAGAATTTGTTACAGTGCCATGTCAATTTCACCTGGCCCCTGAACAGCCTGAACACCTACATGGTGTGACACTGTGCAGATAAGTGTGTAAGCATCTGCCGAGCGATGCCAGGATAACCACTGAAGGAATTGCCTGGACCATTGAAAAAAATCATGTGTAACCAAGAGTCCAACATCAGTAAACTAACATGCACTGTACAGAACTGGACACTGCCCAAGGGTGGCAGCTTGGTCCCTCTGGGACAGTGACTCACAGACACACCTATTCTGTGACACACTGCACAGAGTCTCACAGATACTCCAGTGATCACCTCGTGCACAAGTCAAATTCCATGTCACTCTGCACAGAAGCTCACAGACCTCCAATGACTGCCTTGTGCACAAAACTCAGCCAGATGTGCAGTAGTTGCAGCATAGTAATAGATCACATTGCCATTGATAAAAGAATGATAAGCGAGATAACACAATGCGGTAATCTAATACAGGAAACAGAAACACTCAGGACATGTGGAAATGAAGCGGCATCAGTCAAGAATGATCTGCAGGTGGTCATGTTGAGCCTCCACAGCTCCGTCAAGCCTCAAACTCGTGGCCCTGTAAAATAAAATTAGTATAGAACAATACATACAAAAGCAGCATTCTCGCCATCCAGTTTCAGCCCACTCCTGCAGCTGCATCAACAACTTAGGGCCATGGTACGAATCCCAAAGAATTTCCTTGAGCATTTGGTTCATTTTTGAGTAGATAGGCCCATATTCCTTTACAGAAAACATTGGGTAGTATTTTCTGTTATCGTTCTTCACAAGACCATCCAGGATGCAGTTGTACTATAAAGAGAAAACTTAAATCAATATTATAATGTCAAGTAGGGGTGAAAATACTACCGCCACGTCAACGAGAGCTAGACATGATGTAGGCAATTGATTGCAGAATATGTCTGGTCGCTTGGATGTGATTCGGTAAGGCCTGTGTAGAAGAAGATGATAACAATGTCACGAAGTGCAGGATGCGCAAAATTCCTGGTTTTCCCCTAAAAAGATTCCCTGAGAATTGCTTCAGTCAGCGCAAGATCACTTACATATTCATCTAATCCAAAGTGCAGGAAGAGTGACCCTTCAAGTAAGGCAGCAGCAGTATGCTCTACCCACTTTGCATGTTCATGAATGGGGACCGAAGCCGGGGGAATGAGTGAGTATGATTGGGGCTCCAGGCTCGCAGCAGATTTCTTCAAATCGGATCACCAGGTTGTAAGATCATTGTACAACTGCAGTTTACATAGATTTTAATTAGTGAGAGCAATGGGAATGTGAGATCACGCCTACCAGACGAGCCATGTTGGATTTTTGTTGTGGCCAAATCCCTGAATTGCAATATGAGGTGGTTCAGTGTAAGCGGGAACAGATGCTCACCAGCTTCAAATTGTTTGCCGTCCTGGTCCCATGCAATCAAAACTGAAACGAGAACCTCGCTCACAGATGATGGTAAATTGGCAACTAAAGCTGGGAAGGGATTCTCCAGGGCATGTTGTGCACGACATTCTCCTTTAGCATCCTCAAGAAAACATTTCCATCGCGGTGTAGCAATGGTCGCAGCATTGGGCTTAAAACCACGTATTTCCATACTCACATCAACACCTGAAACATATGCGCACATGTCCGACACACTTTCGCACATGTCTGAGCCACTCCGTATCGGATCTGGCACATTGGACCTTTGGACATCGCATCGGCCGATCGCACTTCGCGCGCACTTGTCCATCCCATGTCCTGTCCATCCGAACTAGCCTCACTAGGTGCATAGTCATTCCTGTGCACGTTTTCTGACATTCGGACCGCATTATTACATGTCCGCAGTACCTCGTGTCTTATTACATAGGATATCGGACCCGAAATATATCGCTACTATCTTCGCCTGTAGTTTTCCGAATTTCTATGTACTTACTTAAATACTCTGTAGTGACCCGTAGCAATCATCATCCAGTAGTTAGGAGCTGTTTCCCGACTCTGCAGATCACCCAGAATATTCTTGTAGTTCTTAGTTGCATTGCGAAATATTACCATTTGTTCACCGTCATACTCCGTCACTCGTTATACTCACGCATACCGCTCGCAATCCAACACTCGTTATAAAGTTTCTGACCTATTATCATGAAGTCCAAAAGTCCGAAATCTCAGACATCGCACTTTGGCTTCGGAGATTGGATAAGTACCTTCGGACATCATCAGATTACCTTCGGACATCATTTTGCACCATCAGACATTTAGTCATTTGCATTACTGACACATTTTTACTACTAATACCAATTAGCAATCCCTTTAGGATCGAACGCACTTGCTCTGCAAGTATAGCAGCATAGGTCGTGCTAAGATCTACCTAAATAATTGTTGTCTAGGTAGTATGATTTCTGCAGAGCCCAGCAGGAATCAGCTTTCTACAACGGCATGATGTGATATGATTTGTCTTGAAAAATGATGTGAGTAAGACGACTCAGAAGAGCAGCTTGAAGGAGAAATATGTTGTCTCCAGCTGCCGCATGTCTCCTAAGCAAGCAATCTACAGTGCACCAGTGAGATTGATTCAAGTCAGTACACGTATTATCAAACCCGAAGAAAGAGCAATTAGTAGTACCCATCTCCCAACAGCTGAAACTTACAATGTGTTACAAGAACATCTAGACGCTTGGGCCCCTACCATTTTTCTCCTGATCCTCCTCGTATCAGCCCTTGCATCATACCCTTACCCCGACCTTACCCTGGTCATCCTTGTCATTCTCGCATTTCCTTTCGCTCTCTACCTGTCGCTTCAGCAGAGCCAGTACATCTGGCCGGATCCTTTCGCTGACGAAGCATACCCATGCTTCGTTCCACCACCTGACTGATCCTGTGGACAGTCCCCTTGCCCTTACCGTCCGGACGGTAACCTATGATATGATGCACAATGCATCCCCTTTGCCTGTTTCCTTTCTTGATCTCTGACTCGATGCGCAGTCGCACATGCAACTTATACTTAGCTCCGCAGCTGCACGATCATGCCTCTGCGTGTTTCACTTCTTATTCTGATCTTTGACTCACTTTCTTATCCGCACGTTCAGAGCTCACCCATGTCTCACCTCGAATGTGCCTTCCTTTTATGGTCATACCCTTTACCGTTTACTTCTCTTGGTAGTACGAGTTATCATCCACTAATATGCTTCCTGTCGTCTATATAAACTCGCTACCATGTAACATATTCCTTAACTTGAATCTACTTGGTTCTTGACCTCCTACTCTCACCAGAGTGATCCTTTCTGCCTAGCCAGCAGTCTATATTCTATCTTCTTATCTGCTCATCGCAGATAAGCCTATAGTCTCGATCTTTGCTCATCGACTTCGTCGACAAGCAAAGCCCCTGTTAACTAGTTGGACTGCTGTCCTTCTAATTAATGATGATCCTTACAATTAACCTTCGGGTGTCATAAGTCTTGGCAGATACAGCTCATCGTCTAGCATCCGCTTGACGTAAGCTACCCGATTTGGACATAGGCGTCAAATCTTACTTGCCAAAGCCTTGCCAAGTAAGACCCCTAACCTTGGGCTAGCCCAAGGACGTCCTCGACCATTGACGACACACGCTCTGTTTGAGCGTTGCCAACAGATACTATCCAAGTCGTAACACAATGTTTTCCCCTGTGGCGTACCAGTCTCTGAACCACTTCATACCAGTGATACCACCATCGCGCTCAGGTCTCTCTCGATCGTACACCAAGAGAAATCACTTCTTTCTGCTGCATGTGTTCAATTCTCGGATTGATGAGGCGGATGCAAGGATAAGCGAGCTTGCATGGGATGAAGCTGATGCAAGAGATGGAGATGCCGCTGAGAAAAAATTAGTAAGGGACACGTGTGACATACAAACACATAAGTATTGTGAGACAAAACTGCTAAGGAAACATTGGAAAGGAAAATGCAATCGCTTCGGCTACAGCTAAACTAGCATTGACACAACTCAAGGTCAATCAATGTCATAGATCTTATCCGAGCCTTCTGACTCCACCGCCGCATGAGTCACCAAGGTATCTGAGTCACTCCTGGAGACACCTGCCTCGTGCTTCTTCTGCTTGGCCAATTTTGGCGAAGAAACAGCAATTGACCAGCCCACTGTAAAGAGTAAATCTCTGCTGTGCTCAGCAGGAATTGTACTACCTATTCAACAATGTTTAGGTAGATCTTAGCATGACCTATGCTACTATACTTGCAGAGCAAGTGTGTTCAATCCTAAATGGATTACTAATTGGTATTAGTAGTAAAAATGTGTCAGTAATGCAAAGAACAGAATGTCCAATGCTGCGAAATGATGTCCGAAGGTACTTATCCAATGTCCAAAGCCAAAGTGCGATGTCCGAGATTTCGGACTTTTGGACTTCATGATAATAGGTCAGAAACTTTATAATGAGTGTTGGATTGTGAGCGGTATGTGCGAGTATAATGAGTGATGGAGTATGACGGTGAACAAATGGTAATATTTCGCAATGCAACTAAGAACTACAAGAATATTCTGGGTGATCTGCAGAGTCGGGAAACAGCTCCTAACTACTGGATGATGATTGCTACGGGTCACTACAGAGTATTTAAGTAAGTACGTAGAAATTCGGAAAAGTACAGGCAAAGATAGTAGCGATATATTTCGGGTCCAATGTCCTATGTAATAAGACATGAGGTGCTGCAGACATGTAATAACGCAGTCCGAATGTCTGAAAACATGCATGGGAATAACTACGCACCTAGTGAGGCTAGTTTGGATGGACAAGTGCGCGCGAAGTGCGATTGGCCGATGCGATGTCCGAAGGTCCGATGCACCGGATCTGATACGGAGTGGCTCAGACATGTGCAAAAGTGCGTCGGACATGTGCGCATATGTTTCAGGTGTTGATGTGAGTATGAAAATACGTGGTTTCAAGCCCAACACCGCGACAATCACTACAACAGGTGGGCTGAGTGTGAAGGTAGGTGGGTATCAGATAGACAGGTGGGCCCAGATATATATTATCTTAGATGGGTGGGCCGAGTGTCAAGGTAGGTGGGTATCAGATAGATGGGTGGGCCGGCCTAGGGTACTTGTTATCACATACACGGGTGGGCCCAGGGATATATTATATTAGACGGGTGGGCTGAGGGCGGTATATAATATAGACAGGTGGGCACAGGTGAATGATAATTGTAAAACAATGCAGTACCGATTGCCGAGTAGCTAATTTGGGTGAAGCGTAATGAGTTCCTGCAGCTGCATGTTCATTACTGTTGCATTGCTGTATGAGAAGCAAGGTTCTGACTACCAAAATTCGAGTGAAGCGTACCGAGTTCCGAGACCCAGGTGTCAATAAACAAATATCTGATATCCAGCACACTTCCAATGATCGGGTATTTCATTGAGCAACGGGTGGTAATATATCTTCAACAGCCAACATCATGGAAGGTTCTCTTATCAGAACCTCATGTTCATCACCTACCGAACGCCAAATGCCAAGTTCCGACTACCGAAATTTGAGTGAAGCGTGCCGAGATCCGAGCCCTGGGAGTCAACAGACGAATATCTGATATCCAGCACACTTCCAATGATCTGGTATTTCGGCTCCCTTATCTGATCCTGACTATCTCCACCCCCTTTAACACCAACCTCTGGGCGTCCAGCATTCATCTTCTGATTTCCCAAGATCGACTTCATCATGAATGGTTCTTCCACTTCTGCAATTGAAATAAACCTCTGGCGCACTTGGGCCCTGAGAGTCACTCACGAGGCATGTGAATATACTGCACAGAAATTCAATGCAGAGAAGACAGGAGGAGACCCGGTGATACCTTCTCCTAACCTAGAGACTGATCTAGTGATGGGCTGCAATCATTGGTAGATCGCCTCATAAAGGCATATAAAAATCCAAGTGGGTCTTCCTGCAGATTCGGAAAATTCATTTGATCATTCAAATCCCTTCATCACAGTTCAGATGAACATTGTTACAAGAACATCTTGATGCTTGGGCCCCTACTATTTTTCTCCTCATCCTCCTTGTATCAGCCCTCGCATCACACCCTTACCCCAACCTTACTCTCGTCATACTGATCATCCTCGCATTCCCCTTCGCCCTCTACCTGTTACTGCAGCAAAGCCAGTACATCTGGCCGGATCCTTTTGCTGACGAAGCATATCCATGCTCCATCCCACCATCTGACTGATCCTGTGGACAGTCCCGCTACTCTTACCGTCCGGACGGTAACCTATGATACGACACATGCTGCGTCCCCTCTGCCCAGTTCCCTTTCTCGATCTATGACTCGGTGCGCAGTCGCGCATGTGTACTTATACTTAGCTCCGCAGTTGCACGGTTGTGCCCCTGCGCGTTTCACTTCTTATTTCGATCATTGACTCACTTTCTTATCTGCACGTTCATGTTCACTCATGCCTCATCTTGAACGTGCTTTCCTTTTATAGCCTTACCCTTTACCGCTTACCTCTCTTGGTAGTACGAGTTATCACCCACTAATATGCTTCCTGTCCTCTATATAAACTCGCTACCATGTACCATATTCCTTAACTTGAATCTACTTGGTTCTTGACCTCCTACTCTCACCAGAGTGATCCTTTCTGCCTAGCCAGCAGTCTATATTCTATCCTCTTATCTGCTCTTCGCGGATAAGTCTTTAGTCTCGATCTTTACTCATCGACTTCGTCGACAAGCAAAGCCCCTGTTAACTAGTCGGACTTCTGTCCTTCTAATTAACGACGATCTTACGATTAACCTTCGGGTGTTGTAAGCCTTGGCCGATATAGCTTATTGTCTAGCACCCGCTTGACATAAGCTACCCGATTTGGACATAGGCATCAAATCTTACTTGCCGAAGCCTCGCCAAGTAAGACCCCTAACCTTGGGCTAGCCCAAGGACGTCCTCGACCGTTGATGACACACGCTCTGTTTGAGCGTCGCCAACAGATACCATCCAAGTCGTAACAAACATCGACATTGGAAGATATAGCAAATTGATCTCCCCAGAGAACACTGGGCACAATCAGGAGAAAGAGGAGAAGTTGCTTAAGAGATGTCCTCCTGGCCATGAGGGGACAAGGTTTGTGGACATACCCGCCACCATTCTAGATGTGTCCGGCACCATCATCACATGGTACCTCCCAGACGCCCTGACAGCCGAAACACAGGTGTGTGATATAGATTGTTACTCAATATATATTAAATACCCAATGGTAACCACAGAAGGAAATTTGGGCAGCCACCAAGTTGCTGTCTCCGAGTCTGGAAAGAAGTATGAAGGTCGATGGGAATTGGCGAACCAATCCGGAGTGGTTCAAACACCACTCAGAAGATGTTGGCCTACCTGCCGGGTGCATTAATTTATCTCCAGCATGGTTTCAACAGGGGCACGAGGTAGGATTTGATAGGATAATGATTTTGGTAGTTGAGCACACCAATCCCATAGAATCTAGTGGACCCAGAGGTATCTGCATCATTAAAAGGACCATTGTCTGAGGGAATCCTAAATGCCATCGCAAGGCCGGCAGCCATCACATCAGCAGCGCTCAGGATCATGCATCCGGAGCAGTACTGGGCAGGGTTACGAACATTTTCAAGCCTCGGAGAAAAGGCAGAAAGCAAGGAACTGCCAAGAATGTCCGAGATCCTGGAGTACTGGGCATCCATGTTTAACACGCTATCCATCATTTCCAATCATCAAACCCCGTATCATCGAGACCATTTATCAATTCCTGAACACTTCAATATTCTTACCACTGTGGGGAATTATTCTAATGCTCGGATGAGCATGCCAAGCCTTCAGCTGGAGTTTGGGTACGATCCCAGGTGTATGATTGGATTTTCCAGAAGGATTGTCAGACAAGGGGTTCATGAGGTGGAGGGGGATAGGGTTGGGTGGGCATGGTATATGAGCATCCCTGTTCATATTTATGCCGGGGTTCCCTCATGCAGATGGGCTAGGGTGGATTGAAAAACCCTACCACCATGTAGAAGATGAAACAAGTAGAAAGTGTAATTACCCGCATCAGTGCCTGCTTTCAACTACCAAGTACGAACTGTCTCTCTTGATGACACTCGAGGTCTGAAATCCATAGCAGATGCATACAATAACTGTCCAGAGCCTTCCGTGTCTCTTGATGACACTCAAGCACCAATGCATTCAGTGCGAGGGAGTGGGGCTTCAGTTGTGGTGCTGTCACAACCCAAATAACGAATTAATGCTTGGGCAGAGACTAGGACTTGACTAAGGTTATCGGACAAGAGAAAGAGGAGCAAGTACGTCTTGGATTGCTACAGTTGTAGATACAAGAGGTTTGAACTAGAGAACTATTGACCAAAATGTACTACCTATATACAACTATTGAAACGGAGATTGAAACTGAGTTACAACTACTAGCCAATCATAAAATAGAGAAGAGAATCATACCATAGAACATCATAGAATATCAAAGAAGTATCACGTGACCATATCTTATCTTATCTAATCTATTCACAATCAAAGAACTCGTCTTCTTCATCAGTCACATCGAAGACATGTGTCGTGGGCGCTAATGGAATCTCTGAACTAGTAAACACTTTCGGGGTAGGGTTAGGGTTTGTCTTAGGCGCTGTGTATTGATGCTTAGGAAGATTCAAGAAAGAATAGTGATTTGTTAAAGGTACTCGTGACAGGTGCACAGTTACAAAAGGCCAGCCCTGGGTTGGAGTAGCGCAGACGATATCATCAACCTTACATTAGGCAATGCTAAGAAGAACGGTCTGTTGCAAAAGGAACCTACAAGTCAAAAGGGCACAGAGAAGCAAAGAAATGTAAGTATGAATGCTGCTGTACAAATTTGAAAATGGTACTGAGGCAAAGGCTATCATTGTATTTAGACTCAGATCCTATCGATGTTCATCAAAGCCAACTCAGAAATTGATATCCGAACATCGATAATCAGGACTTGGTGATCATGACGCGATATCCAGATCCTTGATGACACTCAAGCACCAATGCATTCAGTGCAAGGGAGTGGGGTTTCAGTTGTGGTGCACAGTTACAAAAGGCCAGCCCTGGGTTGGAGTAGTGCAGAAGATATCATCGACCTTACCCTAAGCAATGCTAAGAAGAACGGTCTGTTGCAAAAGGAACCTACAAGTCAAACGGGAACAGAAAAGAAAAGAAAAGTAAGTATTAATGCTGCTGTACAAATTTGAAAATGGTACTGGGGCGATGGCTATCATTGTATTTAGACTCAGATCCTATCAACAGTCATCAAGGCCAGGAGCTCGGTAACTGGGTCTCGGCACTCGGGTCTTGATATTTGGACCTTGGTAGTTAAATGCCAGGAGTCGGGAATTGGTAATGGAGATCCGGAACTCAAAGTTTGATATTCGGCAGTCAACATTCGGCACTCGATGCTCGGACCTCGGAACTCGGTACTCAATGCTCAGACCTCGGAACTCAGTACTCAATGCTCGGACCTTGGAACTCAGTACTTGGAGCTCGGTAATCGGGTCTTGGCACTCAGGTCTCGATACTCGGACCTCGGTAGTTATGTTCCGGGAGTTGGGAATCAGTAATAGAGATCCAGAACTCGGAGTTTGATATTTGGCAGTAAACATTCAGTACTCGATGCTCGGTACCCAAGGTTTTGGAACTCGGTAATCAATATTCGGAACTCGACACTCGATATTCGGAGTTTGGCAATCAGGTCTCGGCACTTGGGTCTTGATATTTGGACCTCGGTAGTTAAATTCTGGGAGTTGGGAATCAGTAATGGAGATCCAGAACTCGGAGTTCAATATTCGGCAGTCAGCATTCAGTACTCAACGCTCAGTACTCAACGTTCAGAACTCGAAACTCAATATTCAGAGTTCGGTAATGGGGTCCCGGTAATCGGGACTCGATATCTGGACCTCGGTGGTCAGGACATGGTGATGCACATCTGCACCATTTATTAACTTCAACATTTCCAACTGAGTGACTAGAGCTACTCTCCTCTGCCTCTCTTCAATCTGTCCAGCATGGCAGTGTAGATTTGTATCTCTGCCATCTTGTCACGGATGCCCTCACATTGCTCTTCAAGTAATGTCAAGAGGCATTCTCTAATCCACCTCAAGTCCCATCAGTGATGGAACTGAGGTATGATCCACCTGCTCCGGAATTGTCAGACCATCATTCTCAATGCCATCCTAGAGCAGATCAGTCATGAATCAAGGAAATGGAATAAGAATCTTACTAGCCAATGCTGGTAGTGAAAGATACAGTAAGTCATCACCCGATCCCATTGCCATGGTTCATACAGGATTGCAGTTTCTCCCATCCACCATGGGGTATCATAGCCGGATACGATCCAGGATGGATCTCTGGGATCTGCGACGTCATGAAACAAACAGATGTGATAGGAAAAGATGTGATCCGGAACTGTGTTCCAGGTGTGACTGGGAATCAAATGAAGAATATGAGCAATAGGGCTGGGAACGACCAAAATGATGTTCCTGGCAGCTGAGTACTGGAGGATTGTTGTTTGCAGCCTCCACCTGATATTGGGAGATGGATGCGCGGATGTGCGGATGTGCGATGCAGACATTGACATAGTAGCTGAAATGTCTGCAGGAGTGAGAGTGAGGGGCCGGTACTCATTGAGGGAATTCTCATTGTCAGAAGTGGATGCAGGAGAAGGATATAATTCAGGCATGGCTGATGCAGGAGTATCACACTGGCAATGACAATGACAGTTGGTTCAGATGTGAAGATATCATCTACTGATGGATGGATAAATTTTTCAAACTCCGACATCAGCTGACCCAGCCAATTCCCGGGACTAAATTTGTATATTGAAATGGTTGTTATATCCCATCAGCAATAAACCATTCATTCATCTCGGGAATCTATCAAATCAGCTCAATGTCGGACGTGTCGAGTATTATGGAACTCACATTCCTCATTCCATGATTGATCTGGACCATGCATGTCGACCTCAATGGACCAGAACCATGTGAGGGATTCATTTCGTTGACCATGGGCATTCGGATCATCCACGGCAGTGCTGACTTTGAGCTGCTCGCAAAGCAGGGGTTTGTACTTCTGAAGTTGGCCATGCCCTGTGTCAAGTTTCATCATTTGTGTCCTGGTCTTGGTATATATACTTGCATGCAGGGAGACAGCCTGCTGCACTGATGTCACCTGCGACCAGGCTCGAGTTTTCAGGGCTTGAGATTTGGCTTGCCTGACCGTCATTCAGAATAGGACTGCCTTGTTGCACAAGTGAATGCGGAGGTTGTGAAGTGCATTATTCGCCTGCCCTTTGCAAAGGGACATCTCCAGTGGAATGAGATCCTCTGCCATCAAGTGTCTGCATCGATCTACCCCAAGGTTTGATGGCAATGGGATCGCAATGAGCTCGGGCGAGTTCATCCATGTATCAGATGTCTCAGTAAAATCTTCCAGGTCATCATTGAGATCATCTAGGATGTCTACGTTCAAGTCGTCATGATCGTCATGATCGTCATCTCCATCGAATCCCTCTCTGAGATGCATGACAGCAGAACATGTGAATCCAGCTATCTGGCCTTAGAGACGATCTCATTGCTGGGCGAGGTCTAATCTCTGTGTCTCCATAGTTCATTTTCCGATTCTTCGGACCTCGACAAGCAATGCAATTTGAGCCTCCTCAATTGCCAACCCCATAGATATCTATGTCGCCACAGATCTCCGAGATGGTGCTGCATTACGGGCATTACCCTGCTCTAGCAGTCTAAGTTCGATCTCCTTTTTGCTCGGTGCTGAGTGCGAAATTAATTCGGACTTCTATGGAGACATGGTCAGCTTACTCTTCTTGATATTTATCTTGTAAACATCCATCGCCGCAGGATCATTTATTCTGCTGGATTGAGCGATCATCTCGTTGGCCAACCATTCTGTCTTCAAATTGGCAGGTGCTGCTTTATCAAGTCTGTCGAAAGCCTTTTCACTTTCGGTGATGCAATTTTTTGCCTGCTTGTATTTATGGCAAAGGGTCCTTTTCATGCAGATCATCTTGCAGAAGTTGGAATTGTTCATCTGAAAATCGAGACATTCCTGTCGATGAGGGGACGACATTCCCCAAGCAGCGGGGGAAATTAGGTTCAGACGTGCCCAGAGAGTCTCCATGATCTCTCCATCTATCTGGCCAATGCCTTCAATGAAATTCGATGCATATCGGACATAGCAGCTGTCTTGATGTCCATGCACGTGCCACAAACCGATGCCGGGGATGATGGTCAATTCCGGTACCATTTCAAGAAATCGGCTTCGATCCACCCGAACCCGGAGGTGCTTGTTGTATTGACAGTTGATGTCATAAAAGGTGACAGCCCTGGTAATGCCTTCCATGTTGTGCTGGGCAGCCTCGCAAAGGGCGTAATCCATGTTCATTTGTCTGCAAACGATGCATGATCAACTTGTGAATGTAGAACTTCATGTTCGGCTTGCCTTTCACCTTTCTGGAAATCGACCATCACATGAGGCACAAAGCAGCTGTGGCGGGCACAAGCAACTCCCCTGATACCCGTCGAGTCCAGCTTGTGCCGAGTCGCATTTGCTTGATTTACCGCCCGGTGATTGTTGCAGCTAGATTTTTCCAAAGTGTCAGCAGCCTCTGTAAGATGTGCTTTATACCTGTCCTTTCCCACCATGAACCCCAGCCCATCTGCAAGCCATACTTCATCAAATGGCTTGATGGGATGCAAGTGTTTCGGCTTTGAAATTACCGTCCATCACAAATGACCAGGGTATATTTCCAGCTTGGAGTTCTTATCATCACTTAGGTCACTTAAGTATGAAACTAGACTCACTCATCAAGTGTTTCATTCCCTGACAAGGATATGTTGATCCCAGGCTGAGGACATGTCGGGCAAAACAATGTGAGATCTCCGGCATTCGGGGCATTGGAACGATGACCGAAGCCATGCCATTTCATGGTCTTCAACTGCCTCCACTGTCGAGCGACTCTCATGAGCTCTCTGTATCGGTCCTTGCCAAGTGCCTTGTCAATATAATGTCCTTTAGATGAAGGAGATATATAATTACCGGAACAAGGTGAGGAAACATGCTGGAGGTCATTCGCCGGAGCTTGCTGTAATAGTTCATTGTGGAGGTGCCAGCATTCTAGGTTGTCCAATAGAAAATTGTTGAGCACTCTGAAGGTGAACACAGTCTTCAGTTTGTTGAATGATGCAGGGAAAAATCCATGTTCAAAACATTTGAATGTCCGGACTCATGGTGTTTGGACAATCACAGCATCGAACCTCGAGGCGATGAACTCCGGACTTGTCGACGATGACCATGGTGTTTTCCTTAGGCTGGAACTCTGGTCCCGACACAGATGGTAGATCTTCAGGCTCAAGCTGGTCCTCGGGTTCATCTCCTTCGAACAAATCCCACCTATTTGCGAGTGCAGGACATTCTTTGCCATCATGACCGAGGTGTATGACGAGTCTGACATGAGCGAGACAACTTTGCTCGAAGAACTGACCATTCCATTGACTGATCCAGTGGAAAGGATTGCAACGATGTTGACCTCCTGCAACATCCGTGCAATAGAGTGGCTCCCCAAGACAATCTTGACATTTGTAGACCCCATCCTGATCGCAGACGACACATCTCCTATCTTCTGGAGGAGCTTCTCGATCCAGGAGGTGATGCAGATATGATTCCTGCCTTGGGAGCCATTGCCTCAGGTAGTCATTCTGGCTCTGCATTTGTTATACTTAGCAATGTTTGAACGACACTCCAATGGTTTACATTCACTTGCCATTGTTTTTGGAAGCTGCAAAGGCTCGAATGAGCCTTGGTCTTGCTCATAAGTATTATCAGGACAGTCTTCCCAAGTAGGTGGTGCTGGAACAGGCTGAAGTGTTGGTGATTCCAGGGGAGAGTTAGGCATGGACCTGTAGGCATGTCGTTTTGCGCTTGCAAGCGGGACCTTGACCCAAGTTCTCCTACCTTTGCTGCCCCTTGCTTCTACCCTGTGGGATTTTTGCAGCAGGGTGCATAGACCTATCTTCATCTTATTTTTGAATGTTGCAAGAACAGCATTAGCTCAGGAAGGTCGCACAAATTGTTATTCCAATGCTATGTTTGTGCAGTATTGGTTGTTCATTACAAATTTATTTCCATTAATGGCATCATGTCCGATATGGGTTGATTAACCAACTGTTAGGCTTTGGTCAAAGTTGAACTTCAAACCAATACTAGTTACGCCTTGCTTACCCTCAGCACATTCACCAATCAGAGTTACCATGGCAAGATCAGGTCATTCCACTCGCTTGTCTCCTGGAAGACATAGGGCACATCAACCCCAGACACAGAAGCTCACAGAAAACGAAATTTCCGAGCTGAAGAACTACCTTCCTGAGTGGACTTCTGCAAAAAGGAGTGAGAAGCGGGCAGTTTTCACTGCAATTGCCAGGGCTGCAAGGTTGTTTGTGCCAAAGGTGGACCAAGGACAATGGAAAAAGAGGAAGAAGGTGATACATCCTTGTTGCGATGTGAGACACAATTTTTAATGTCTTACACTTCCTTCAATGCTCAGATGTACAAGACTTGGTTGTTCAACAACAAGAAAAAGAAGGAAAGGAAGGACATGATAAAGTATGGGAGGAAATGGACGCCTAGAATGGTGATCTACCAGGAGAATCGGGAAGAGGTGCTGAAGAGGATCGAGGATGAGTCCGGGGCAAAGCCAGGAGATCCTGGTATGTTCAAGCATTATCAGGCGGCTGTGAAGAGAGTCATGGCTGAATTGTCCGACGACGAGTTGGAGAAGGTGAAAGAAACCGCCAAAGAATGGTCCAACAACTGTCCTCCTCCCCATTCACGTTCAAAGCGTGGAAGAACAAAGATGGCGACATGGTAGCATCAGTCGTATCAGGCGGGTCGCCTTCCCATTGGATGGGTAAAGTCAAAAACATGCAAAGGATAATCATCCGAAGCCCTAGGGATTCATCCTCCGAACCCGACAGTGATTTCGGGAATGACACTCATCATATGGATGATGATGATGATGATGATGATGACTCAGCTGATGGTAGATCACCGAAAAAGAGAACCAGAACCGGAGAAGGTCCTTCATCATCACATGCAGAGATGGCAATCCCACCATCAGTTCTAAAGCCTCGCCCTGTCAAGCCGGCGAAATGTGGTGCACTGCTGACATCGCGAATGGGAGACCTCCTGGTTAACCAATGGCAACATTGGTGAGGTTGACGATGATGTTGCAATGGAAGGGAGGAAAACATCACTGGCTCCGAAAAGGATGCGGGGAAAGAAAGCGGTGATTGAGCCATCGGCAAGGACCACCCGGAGTAAGTCGACACCAAAGCCATTAGACAGTACTCCTCGGGTGACAAGAGCAAGGGGAAGGAAGTGATGTACTTATCCCACACTGTCTCCCCTTATGTACATATCCATGTCATGCAATGGGAAGTAGGTTATTGGTGCGCCGGACTCCAAACATGGACCTGGTGATCGATACTCGGGCCTTGGTAGTCCTCAGATAGTGAATAAATCGGAAATGGGAGTTCCATACATCCATAATTAAGTAGTTTACATGACGTGAGTGGGTTCATAAACATTCAAAAGCTCACAGGTAATTTGTCTACTAACAGAAATTGTGTAATTTACATTTGAATTTGATCTTCAAACCTAAGAATGAGGGAATCTAATACCTTGAGCATTTCGGAAGTCAAACGTTCAGCTCGTTGCAGCCTCCAGAGGTCTTCATCAGCTCTTCTGAGTTTGTCCGATGTTTCTGCCCAGGCAGTTTGGAATGGTCTCTCAGCCTCGAGTAGTTGTTGGATGGATGGGTCGGGAATATGTCCGTGTCGCTGTTTGTAATCCCAGACCCGATCTTGAATGGATTGAACTAAGAGACAAATTAGCAGAAAGATAAATGATTATATCAGATACTCACTGCCTGTGTGATTGTAAGACTCAAATGGCCGGAGATCCCAGACCATGGCAAGCAATTCTTCATAAGTGACATCCAGGTGTGGCAAATCACGTTCGGGAGATTTTGCCATCGCTTGGGAGATGAATTAAGTAAGGAAACCTGGATGGTAGGGAGAAACCTACATGCCCTGGATACTACTGGCGCACCTGAGACCTCACTATCCAAATCTGCATGCTCCTGCCTCACCTCACAGTCCATCAGATCATCTTCAGGGCCTAAGTACATGTCTGGGTGAATGGGAGAACCCAGTTGATCAGGTTGGGCTGGAAGAGATTTATATGTAAGGGTTTAGTGAACAGGGATGGTGAGATGTTTTGATTGACAGACCGGGGAATTCTGGCATAAAATCTTCATCAGGCCCGAGGTACAGGTCAGGGTGGATGGGTACATCTGGGTGATAAGTTTGGGCCGGAGGTGATGGATCCGTCAGGCTTTAGTAACCAGGGATGGCCGGACTTTTCATTTCAATCGATGAACATACCCAGGATCTCAGTCATAATATCTTCATCAGGCCCGAGGTAGAGATCCGGGTGGATGGCTAGACCTGGCATATCAGGTTGGGCTGGAAGTGACTGATCTGCAAGATTTTTGTGTCAACATGCATTGTTAGATGATTTAAATAATACTCACTGTGCATCCCAGCCATCAGGTCATCCTCAGGCCCGAGGTATATGTCCAGGTGAACCGGGAGGCCTGGTTGATCACATTGAGCCGGAGGTGAATGATCTGTGAGATTTGAGTCACCATGGATGATTAGATTGTCATCATATCAATTGATAAACTCACCGGAAATTTGAGAAAAGACCTCCGGACCATTGGATGACACAGAACATGATTCTGGATCATCAGCCGGCCCAAGATTTAATTGATCTGAGGATGTCCGGTAAATTGATAAGGTATGATGGATGTTGAACATACCTGTTGACATCCGGGACACGGTTGATTCATCCACATCCATTGAGTTATATTCAGTGACCGGAGGGTCATTGAATCTAACTGTAGCAGGGGAGTTCATGTTCTGTGATGAACTGATCAACTGATTCACTGATTATTGATAACTTCGAAGTTGAACACAAGGCGCCGGCAATTGCTGAAAGTTGAACCACGACCAAACAAGGACAAACAATCAATGAAATTTTACATTGTTAATCACTGATCTTGTTTTTACTGAAACATCATCCTTGTGATAACTGATTTCAACCTGAATACAACTTGATTTCTACCTGATCTCAACACTTTCAACACTTTCAATTGAAATACCATGTCTACTCCAGTTGACACCTCTTTGACCGGCCTCAAGGAAATCACTGCCAAGATCATGGCCATCATCACCGGTGCGCAGCAGCTTCCTCCAGGCTACAGCCACTTTTCTCTGACAACCCAGGTCAGTACACTTGTGGTATGTAGCATTGTCATATTTTCTCCACTTCATTTTTTTCATCATCTGGGTAGGCTGATGCGGTCCGGCAATATGGGAGTGGTCCCTACCTTCCGGGTCTCGTGTGTTCGTGCTCGAGGGAGTTAATTCGTGTTTGGGGCATGACTCCTCAGGTCTGGCCCAACTGGCACAGCATCAGGTACGATGATACCCATTTGTTGACGCACCCCTGGCGCAGCAAGGTTCTTGCCTGTTACGACTGGGATAGTTCTGCTGTCGAGGATCAAAGATAGATCACTCAGTTGACAGTTCGACGGCCTTCCTAGTACAAGGAAGGTGTCTTGGTTCAAGGGTTCACACTGCACGAGCCACGGCTTCTATGCAGGATCAGCAGCGAGTGGCTTTAGCACTTCTGCTTAGGTGGTGAGTGGTTTTAGCACTTCTACTGCAGTCAAGGGTTCAGGCTAAGACAGTGAGTGACTGTCTTAGAATCAGAGTTCAGGCTACAAGGGTGGAGACCTTGTAGATCAGGTTTCAAGGGGAAACCCAGTAGATTAAGTTAAGGAATACAACTATGGTACATGGGGTTTATATAGGTAAAAGGGAGCGGCGCAGCCGCAACAAAAATGGTAACAGAGATAGGAAAAAGAATACAACCTATCAAGATAGTAAGGATAGGTGAAACCGCCATGCGGCGCAAGATAGTATCTATGTTACAATCAAGAAGAAGAGAAGTGCAGACAGCCCGCTTGATAAGAGAATAGCCAAGTCTAGATGAGTCTAGAGTCGGCGGCATGGTTCCAAGAAGGAAAAATAAAATAAGAGTAAATGTTATTGTAACATTGCCTGGGAGGAGTTAGGTGATCATACCTTCAATCTCCTGGTCGTGTCCAGTCCTTCAGTAGGTCCAATTCCTGTGGATCTTCCACCCTCACCTGTCATCGCCAGGCCTTCTACCAACCCTGCCTCCAAGTCCCGGGAGAAGGAAAAAGGTAAGGCAGTTGTCCCAGACCCGGAACCAGAAGTGGAAGGGAGTCGGAAGAGGAAGTCTCCAATGATTCCGGCACTTCCTCCCAACCCCCGAAGTCCACTATGAAGACTCGGAAGCGGGCAAAGACCACTGGCCTTGCCAAATTCAAGGCATTTGTTGAGTCAGAAGATGAGGAGGACTCGGTCACTCAGGTATGTCCTCTGGTTCATTGTTTCATTGTCTTACTCATTTTGTAGCCAATTTCACATGGGGTTTCGGAGGTCGTCCTCCCCTGGCTCTCCCCAGATGTTGCAAGGACGTCCAGATCACCTTGGTCACCCCGGAGCCCAAAGAAGAAACCCTTCGGGCCTGCTATGGTAAGTCGCACTTTTGCATCCAGCACTCAGGTGAGTCCTTACAATGTGCCAGGCAATTGCTGGCAAACGTCCGGAGGTCATCGAGCCCCCTCAGGCAACTCCCGAACCTATGGTAGAGGCACCCCCAGTTATTGACGCAGGTGATATACTCATTCCTGGACCCGTAAGTACACCATTGAGACTTGGTGTGTCTATGAACTGACGTCTCGCACAGAATAACCCTTGCCAGGCTTGCCACAAGATGGAATGGCCCTGCACAACTCGGTTTGACAAGAGGACCGGTGCCCCATGCATGTCCTGCATCTACTGCACCACCAAGAAGATCAAGTGCATCTCCGTGAGTATGGGAACCCTGCCGAAACATGTTCGAGGTCAATCTATCACCCGGTGTCCTGCATGATGTGGGAATCATGCATGGACATGAATACTAGGTGACCCTCAAAAGACAAAGTCTGTTAGCTTAGTCCTCAGACTAGTCAACCCATACCTTGGTTTCAAACCATGGTTCATATTTCCAGTTTTCCCCAAGTTTCATGATCTGAATACGTTTTGACGGAAAAAGTCTAATGTGAGATGGGAATCACATTTAGACCTAGTTGATGTGAGAAGAGAAATGGAGGTTAAGGTATAGCCTTGCCTTTGGCTTATTCACTTTGGCTAGAGAAAACCATAGAGAAAAGTACAAAGCCTATAAAAAACCTATCCAAAAAGACCGTGTTTCAATTCCTGCCAACTGTATTATTTTGACTGCATTTCAATTCCTGCCAACTGCATTATTTTTTTTGACTGTGTTTCAATTCCTGCCAACTGTCTTATTTTTGCTACCTACTTTTCTCTAGTGTTTCTTTACTTTACTTTTTCATTAGGATGCTTTGACTCACCTGACACTTCATAAAATTGTACCCATAGGGTATGATGTCATTATGATGTCATAAGACTCCACAGATACTCCTACAGGTATTCTGTTGAAAGATATTATGTCATCAAGCTCTAGATTATTCTACTCTACAATGATATCATCCATGATGTCATTTCCTTCTAGAATATTCTGCTCCACAATGACTCACTCTGACTCACTCATGGAAGGTTCTGGAATCTTTTGCTCCACAATGATGTCACTCTTGATGTCATTATGATGTCATTACTCCACATTCCAGAATGTTCTGCTCCACAATGATGTCATAGCTCCATCTTTCACTTGTATTTTAATCTTTTATTGGGTTTGACCCAATATTTTGATTGGTCCTCCTTATTTTTTATTGTTTGTGAACCTAGGTTACTTTCCCACACAAAATGTATATAAGGAGAGCCCATTCTCCCCCCAAAAAAATATGATCTCCCATTTGTAGCAATCTGCCTCTCAGATATTTCACTTGCAAAGTTAGTCCCTTTGAAGTGAGACAAGTGCAGGGAAAAGAATTCCCTTGAGATTATAAGTTTCTTACCTTAGAAACTTATTAGTGCCATAGACCAAGTGTTCTTGGTCATATATATTGTCTTTGAGACCCCTTTGTCTCATTGCTCTGTGCCCTTTGACTAAGCGATCTTAGTCATCTATCATATTGTTGAGACCACGTCTCACTAGTAGTCCCATAGACCAAGCGATCTTGGTCAAGTTATAGTCCCCTTTGTTCAAGCGATCTTGAACATATATCGTATATTTGAGACCATTGTCTCACAGTCAGGTGTCCATAGACCAAGCGATCTTGGTCATATTTCATATATTTGAGACCACGTCTCACTAGTTCCAGTATCCAAGTCCAGAGCCTAGAAGGAGATTTCCTAGGCAAATACATTCCAGAAACCGAATTACGTGTCTAGAAGCTTATTCCTAGACAAGAGATTTGAGTTTCAATAAAGAAAAGTAAAGCTCCGGCTAGGTTGATCTTGACAAAGATTAGTTTAGCGAGCCTCCCAAGAACTCACACATTATCTACCACGAAATAGGAAAAGTCGTAGACCGTGTTAATCAAGGACTGGAAAGCAGTCTTATCCAAAGTGTAATTGTGGTGTCATTACATTTACACGACTTTATATAAGACCCTCGGTTATTAAGACACCGACAATATGTTGATGGCTGCACTATGTGCCAGCAGATGAAATCTGACACTCATCCCACCACACCTCCCCTTATGCCCATTCCCTCCACTTGTACTCGACCGTTCTCCCAAGTTTCAGTCGATCTCATCACTGATCTTCCAGAGAGCACCGGCTATGACTCCATTATGGTCGTGGTCGACCATGGGCTTATGAAGGGGGTAATTTCTCGCCTTGCAAGAAAACCATCACTGCAGAAGGCATTGCTGAATTATTTTACAAAAAGGTGTGTTTATGCGATTCGGACTATACGACAAGATCATCTCCGATCGAGGCCCACAATTGCCTCGAAGCTAGCAAAAGAACTCGGACGGCTCCTGGACTACCAGGTGGCCCTCTCCACTGCCTATCATCCCCAGACAGATGGGCAGATGGAACGGATGAACCAGGAACTGGAGACGTACCTCCAGATCTATTGTAGGACAACCCCTAATGATTGGGCCAAACACCTCCCCATGGCCGAATTGTCCACAATTCCAGACGACACTCCGCTCGGAACGCATCCCCATTCTACCTCATGATGGGTTATGAACCCAAAGGCATACCCTATGCCTTCCCCGACTCAGCTCTGCCAGCAGCAGAGGATCGAGTCAAGAAACTCACGAAGATCTGTGAAGAAGCCCTTGCATGCCACAGCCTTGCGCAGCAACGCATGGCAGAACACACGTTGGGCGAAAGTACCAACCTTGGAAGGTTGGGGACAAGGTGTGGCTATCTGCTGCGCATTTGATCACCCACTTCCCTTCAAAGAAACTCGCACCAAAACGATAGACCCTTTACCGTTAAACAGGTCCTCTCCCCTATCACGTTCACCCTCGAACTCCCTGCCACCTGGCGTGTTCCCCACGTTCCATGCATCAGAATTATCCTCCTATCAGGAGACGGACGTGCATGGCGCCCAAACTATACTGAACCGCCACCAACCTGATCGCATTGGGGAAGAAACATTACGAAATAGAAGCGATCCTCCAACACATGGGTACCGGAACGAAACACCGATACCTGTCTCCTGGGTTGGCTACCCACCCTCCTGAACAAACGTGGATCCTAGAGAAGGAACTGAAGTCCACAGCGGAGATGCTCAAGGACTATAAGAGAGACTCAAGCTGACAACAAAGCTCCTCAGTTGTTAACCAGCCATACCATCACCCTCCATGTCTACCACTTCTCCAATGCCTCCTCCCTTTCCCTCGGATCCCACAGCCTCTATCGTCGAACTCATCCACGAGTCTCACCATTTCTTTCACGCAGACCCCGGACTCTCAGAAGGCAATTCTGGGAGGCCTGTTATTCTCGATGCGTCAGTATGTGCTTAGACTCGACAGCTTATTGACCGTACCAAAGACACAGTTCTCCTGGAGATTGTCAACTGCCTTTCGGGCAGTTGACACTATCGCTTTCACAGCAGACACCCGGTATCCTGTTCCCCCTCATCCGATCACCCGATACTCCGTCACGAAGGCCAGAGGTCCCTCTTGAACCTTCTAGCATCTAGGAACTTTGGCGATACAGTCGCCAAGATAGAAGAAGAAATCACATACAACCAACCGCCTATACAGGCATCGTTGTCGAGCGTACTGCCAAGTGCAGTGCTCCAACCCCCCCTTCTGAAAGATCCAACCTCATCCCCACCGACCTCACGTCAGAAGAAATCGACAGAATGTTCGCAGAACACGAAGAAGAGCAGTATAGGATGATGACTAGCGACGAGCTCGAGGAACTCCGAGCTGCCATCAATGACGAGGTCGTAGCCAATGACCCGTTACCTGCTCCCTATAAAGGGAAGAAGAAGCACGAAGAAGAAAAGTCAAGTAAGGAAACTCGCACACCACCTGGAGAGAAAGACGAACGAAGAAGACAAACCGAGCTTGGAAGCTCGTCTTACCACTCCCCCTCCAGGGTTCACCTCTACCGATGACATACCGATATTATCTATCGGGTCACCTATCATAAGGATGACACCCCTATCCCTGTCCCTCCACCCACGCGCACCCCGACGAAGTCACCGACTGAATACGAGTGCATCCTTGCACTCGGATTACCTGTCACTTGACATGTACCGGGCCAGATCCCACTAGGCAACAGATACTTAACGATACGCACACTAGGACGACCCCACAACCTTACCAGTGCAACTTTAAGTGCAGGGTCTGCCACCAGTACGGCCACAAACAGAAACAATGCGAGCGATATTTTTGCCGCATTTGTGGACGGTTCACCCCCGGACATCTCACCCCCTTCTGCCCTCACCTTCACGGCAAGAAGATCCTTCGTCGAGGAATATCCTCTGAAACGTTCTATACTGACATGCGTCAGTTAGAAGCAGCATACGATCACGATGCTGCACGACTTGAACAGAGAGAAGAGAACACGTTAGAAGCCATGGACGCACTCCGCGACCTTGACTGCGACCCCTCTTGGTATGACAAGCTATGGAATGACTGAACATCGTTGATTTCAGTCCTAGAAACCAGTGGGTAATGATTACAAGACATCTAGACGCTTGGTCCCCCCTACCATTTTTCTCTCATCCTTCTCGGTATCAGCCCTCGCATCATACACACTTATCCCGACCCTCACTCCATCGTATATCCTTGTCATCCTCGCATTCCCTTTCACCTCTACCTATCGATCACGCAGAGCTCAGTACATCTGGCCGTGACCCTTTCACTGACGAAGCATACCATGCTCCGTTCACCACCTGACTGATCCTGTGGACAGTCCCCTTGCCCTTACCATCCGGACGGTATCTATGATATGATGCACGATGCATCCCCTTTGCCCCTTTTCCCTTTCTCGACCTTTGACTCAGTGTGCAGTCGCACATGTTACTTATACTTAGCTCCGCAGCTGCAACAATCGTGCCCCTGCGCATTTCACTTCTTATTTTGACCTTGACTCACTTTCTTATCAGCACGTTCTGGTTCACCCGTGTCTCACCCCGAACATGCCTTCCTTTTATGGTTATGCCCTTTACTGATTACTTCACTTGGTAGTACGAGTTATCACCCACTAATACGCCTCCTGTCCTCTATATAAATTTGCTACCATGTACCATATTCCCTAACTTGAATCTACTTGGTTCTTGACCTCCTACTCTCACCAGAGTGATCCTTTCTGCCTTGCCAGCAGTCTATATTTCTATCTTCTTATCTGTCCTTCGCGGATAAGCCTATAGTCTCGATCTTTACTCATCGACTTCGTCGACGAGCAAAGCCCCTGTTCACTAGTCAGACTTCCATCCTTCTAATTAACGACAATCTTACGATTAACCTTCGGGTGTCGTAAGTCTTGGCAGATACAGCTCATCATCTAGCATCCGCTTGACATAAGCTACCCAATTTGGACATAGGCGTCAAATCTTACTTGCTGAAGCCTCGCCAGTAAGACCCCTAACCTTGGGCTAGCCCAAGGACATCCACGACCGTTGACGACACACGCTCTGTTTGAGCATCGCCAATAGATACCATCCAAGTCGTAACACTCTGTCACTTGTTATACTTGCGCATACTGCTCGCAATCTGACACTCATTATAAAGTTTCTGACCTATTATCGTGAAGTCCAAAAGTTCAAATCTTGGACATCGCACTTTGGCTTCGGACATCGGATAAGTACCTTTGGACATCATCAGATTACCTTCGGACATCATTTCACAGCATCAGACATTTTCTTATTGCATTACTGACACATTTTACTACTAATACCAATTAGCAATCCCTTTAGGATTGAACAGCACTTGCCCTGCAAGTATAGCAGCATAGGTTGTGCTAAGATCTACCTAAATATTGTTAACTAGGTAGTACAGTTTCTGCTGAGCCCAGCAGAGATTTACTCTTTACAACATACTCATGATCATCCTTGAAAACATGCATAGTGATTACCAAACATATCACAAGCTTATCCTTGCCTGAGGGGGGGCAATCACCATCAACATGCAATTGTTTCCCATCCGAGAAGAACAGAACCCAGCAGTCTGCTGGATTGAAACAGACATGGTCAATAACCCTCTGGGTGTGGGATGATTGGCCTGCCACTGGACAGCAAATTTGGGTGCCTGAGTGGCATGATCTGGAGCATTAGTGCTAGTACTACCTTATGAGCCTCGAGTTTGCCTTGGCTGTGGCTAATAGGTCCCTGAATATTGTGTTGCATAGCTTGGGTAGGCTTTGAGAATCTCTGCAAGTGCTTGAGGCATACAGAATGACAAAGACATGGGGGTCAAAGGGCAGGCATGTTTTTTGAAGTCCAAAATGATGCTGAGTGTGCCGCATGTCATGGTGGCTGTTCTTGCACAAGTTTTGTTGAACTTTTGCTGAGTTTAGCGCTGTTTAGTGAGGTCATAATTTTTTACTTTGAGTACCACTATTGCATTCATTCTCAAAGTTAATATCACTTCTACTACCGGAGTTCACCATAAGCCATGAGGGAGTTACAGGGGACCAGTGCTGGTGACACTGAGACTCAAGGTATGTTCTAACTTTTTATCATTTTTCTATATTCTTACTGCAAAGCATCTTTGCACTTACCTGTTCTCTCGCAAACTTATCAATGCCTACAGATCTATACTTCTGGTCTCTTGCATCGCGCTTCACAGTGAAGCAGTTGCTTTCTCCTAATTGATCACACAGATTGGTCATGTCATTAAACAATCTTGTGACTCAACTCTCCACCCGCTTTGCCATCGAGGCAATGACAAAGACTCAGATGAGGCTATCACACTTCACAGCAAATGTGCTGGCTTTGCGCCTGGTCAGTCACACAGATTGGCCTGTATGAGCACTCGTATGCACTCAAACATCGGAAGACTCAGGTGACCCAATAGCCCAGGTGCACCATCAGTTTGTTCATTATGTTATTGTTATTTTTTGTATTTAAATCTGGCACTACAGGATGATGATACTACTAACATTTTTGGTCACCTACCTGCCCTTGTAAAGCCTGCAAAGACCTCTCCCACATATCCGCTGGTATGGGTGTGGGTCTGACCTTCGACACACCTGTGCCAATCCCTAGTCATCTGATGGCTTGGTTAGTCTAGTGAGAACTTTGCAAGGGCTGCAGTGACCTAATGATTCAAGACCCATTAGCTAGAACAACATAGCTGACCATATAGTACTGAATTTTGTACAATACAAGACCTGTGTGTGTTCAGCATTGTGTGTGTCATATGTATGTGTGTGTATAATTGTTGAACTGATCCAGTGCCATACTTTCTTGATATCCTTCCTACTCACACATAAAATATCTGTGACAGAAGTCTCAAATAAGCAAAGAATGTGACTGGTAAGTTGAGACGAGGCGAAGACATGCACTATTGCCAGGTGGAGTCAGGGTCTGGCGGTTAACTGCCATTACGATTACAATATTGAATAGACCAAAACAATTCATGATGATTTGCATGTGCTAGCTCAAAACACGAACACTAGGTGAGCACAAACTCGTGGGTATATCTAGTACTACAAATCCGCATGCGGCCCATGTGTCCGGTTTTCGCTGAGTTACGGAGTTTGCCGTATACGGACAGTCCCAGATGTCCTCGAGAAATCTGTTCCACCAATCGTGTTGCTCCGAATCACCAGCGTCGTAAGCTCACTGTAAGCATCATACTTCTTTTGATAAGTGATGATTGTGGTCTTCTGCTTAGAAGTGAGTGTCATTTCGAATTCCGGATGAAACATTTGGGCGAGTCGGAGTTTGATAAACGGTGATCGTGATCTAAGGGTATCCATGTGACCTTCGAAGTCGGAGCAACCGAGCCTTAGCTGTGGCATCAGACGAGTACTGCCATTCTGAGAATGCTGTGGTCCGTGGATAGCCATCAAGTGAATTGATGCGTTGGACTGATCACAATCACAGGCGTCAAGATAATGTCCACTTATATTGCGGGCCACTGTCTAAGCCTCTTGCATCCATCAAGTCGACATGTCCCTCCCAACGCACACACCAGTTTGGCGTATCAAGAATTCCCCTCAAGACTCTGTAGTTCTTGATTTTTCTGATGATGCAACGTTTGCCTTGACAGAAGAACCTCTGCCTCATGTTGAGGATGGTGAAATGCTCGTGGAAACGTTGTACATCTCCAATGACCCTGCACAACGAGGTTTATATTATATTCAAGGTTGGATCTCAGTCGATGGTGACCATGTTCTCTAGGATGGATCCAGAAAGGTGTCTTGCCAGAGCGCCTTTACACCGCTCCTGTGCGTGAGGGCGATGTAATGGCGACACATTCCATCGCTCGTGTTCTCGCAATCAAGGACAACACCGGCCATGGATTTAAGGTAAACGACCTGGTTTACTGTTTGACTGCTGGGTGGCGACGATACGCTGTGATCAAAATAGGCCCATCCTCATGCCTACCCGTGATGTACGCAAACGCTTTCTCTTGTTTATCACATCGCTGACCTGACTAGGGTGCCTGAAAATGTGTCGCCCACTGCCGCTATCGGTCTTTTGGAGTCCCTGGATTTACTGCGTACTGTAAATTGTCATCAATGCGTGGTATCATCCTTTGCTTGACATGTTCATAGATGGTCTGCTGGATATTTTAAAGCTCAAGGAAGGAGAGTCGCTGATTGTCAGCGCGGCTGCGGGGTGAGTTTGTCTTGGCCTGTATGCTTGTGTTGTCCGCTAAAAGCGTGGAAATAGTGCGGTCGGGAATGTCGTCGTTCAATACGCCAAGAAAGTGCTCAAGGCCAAAAAAGTGATTGCAATCACGGGATCAGACAAAAAATGCCAATGGATCAAGGAGCTCGGTGCAGATGTGGCCCTCAATTATAAATCAGATACATTCCCTCAAGATCTTATCGACGCCACCTCGGACTTTGTGGATGCATACTTTGACAAGTGAGCTATTTGTACTCCCTATATCTTGAATATCTACTTACCACCTTTCGCCATGCAGTGTGGGGTAAGCTAGATCAGCAGGAGATTTTGCTTCTGTTAGCTAAATCAAATGCATTAGCGGTTTTTGTCCTTGATCAAGTGATTCCACGAATCAAAGCGCATGGCCGTATCGCAGCTTGTGGCGCCATTTCAGGTTAGAAGAATATGCATTCAGCTGGTATGCATAGTTATTGACTGTCCTTTCCAGGATACAATAAGGACTCAGGGAAATTACCTACGATGGGTACCACCTGGATCGAAGTAATCACCAACCGCTGTCTATCAAAGGCTTCGTTGTGCTTGATTTCATGTTCCCGAAGGACGGGCCTAACAGAGTGGGCCACGGAAGCCTTTCCAGACATTGCTGGAGCAGTTCAGCGGGGAGAGATCACGCTTGAAGGCACTGAGGACATTGTGGAAGGTACCCTTCATTGACGTCCCAAAGGTTTGGGGAAGGCTTTTTACTGGTGGTAATACTGGGAAGTTGGTGACGAAGCTTACATTTAGTGCATGATAGACGACGGGAACAAGCATGTACATATTGCGATTCTGATGCGGCCCACAAGTGATGAATCTGACCTGTGAGAAGCATGTGATATCTGCATAGTATCATGTGTTGTGCCTAGCGAGGCTCAGTAGTTGTTAGGAACCACACTGATCCTGAGGTGTTGCAAATTTGCAATGTCTCTAAGTGGGACCCCCGTAAGCAATAGGTTGAGCGCTTAAGCACAGTCACGGCGACCACGCACGTTAAGTCTCCCTTCTAACATTTAAAGGCTCGCGTACACCTGTTTTGCACTGATGGCAGACATCTACTCGGTATCAAGAAGACTGTTGACTCGGACTAGTATCTCAAAATGCAATGAAGTTGTCGCAATCTCACTGTCACCTGTCCTTCGCCGAAATCCCACTATATTGTTACAGTGTACGTCGTGGTGCGTATCTGTACATACAGGTTACATTACCACCAAAGGGTATCTCTGCTCACGCTCTCGAGCCAGATGTGCCATTCCCATGAACCACTGGCGTATCTTCGAGATATCTTCGGACCCGGAAATGCAGCTGCGCGATATATTTGGATTTAAGGAACTGACTCGTCGATTCGGCGTTTATTTCCCGCTTGAAGTGTACCGTGGTATTTGGGTTGGGAGACATGAAAAATGACTGGTTTTACTGAAGATTCGAGTCGCTCACATGGGGTCCTGTATAAAAAAACTTTGTCAAGTCATCTCTCGGGTTTAGGTAGCACGTTCTCAAGACCATGCTGGGTGGGTCGTGGTTACCCTATGCAGCTGGCCTCATTCCCTGGACTAAACTTAACTAACCCATACATGACGTAACTTGCTTTCGAACTAGGGATCACTTCCTCCGAGCCGTGGGTGCCCGTTGGACCTCAAGGCCTTAGGCTCTGGTCCATCAGATCTATACTATAATAGTCCATCAATTTCCTTTTAATTCCGGGTAGGCTTTCATGCATGTTGATACAGGCGCAACAGTGCCATACTATAATTCAATTAAGAATAGAGCCGAATCGTCTCCCTCAGTCCCTCCACCATCATGGCCGCAAACTGCACCCCCACTGCAGAGATACCAAACCCTTGCACATCTCTAGCATTTTTAGCTCCTGAGTCAGCAATGCAGCTCGAGGTGTCTCGATATCTCTACTGGGCTACAGTCCGGGGTTTGTTCGTCTTACTTCCATAATGCATGGCAGGATTTGACGCACGATCTCTAGGCGTTCTTGTGGGACTGGACTATATCTTTACCAGATGAAATCCGAATCTTCCGAAAAACAGGAATTCGCCTTCCAGTTATCGCCTACGTGCTATCAAGGTAATCTCTTCCATCGAAATAGATCGAGTTTACTGCTTACTGTCCGCAGATTTGGCACTCTAGCCTATATTATCATCGCTACAGTCTTTCAAGGTACCGTCTGTTCATAGTAATCACCAGCGTAAATTCCTGACTTTCTATACTATGTAGCACTTCCGGTTCACGGATCTTGCCAAACTATTCTTTGGATCATTGGTTTCAGCTATCCCTTTGCAGCACCCGCTACAGCGGCATTATTCTTCTTTAGGGTCCGTGCGGTCTACGACCGTTCAATCATCGTCACACTCATATTCGGAACATTATGGGCTGGGGACATTGGGTGCTGCGATTGCACTCCCATTTACGCTTAAGGAGATCACATAGGAAACGACAGATTATTGCATTCAAACATCTGTAGCACCAGGTGCTTCTGCTGTTGTATCATAAACGCCTGCAGCGACACTCTCGTCTTCCTTTTCATTTCATGGCGCCTCGCACTCAATAACTTTACTGCTGAATCCTGGGGCACCCGTGTTCGTTCCTTCTATAAAGGAGATGGACTCCCCAGGCTCTCTAAAACCCTGTTGCAAAGTGGTCAGGCATATTATTTGTACGTACAAAACTTCGAATCGTATTGATGACGCTTATCAATACGTCTTGCACAGGGGCCACTGTTGGATTGAACGTGGCAACCATGATCATGATCCTAGTTCCTACCCGCACCTCCTGTATACCACGCTTTTTTTATCGCTTCCCAACATCGCCCTTGAAAACTCAATGGCATGTCGCGTTTTCCGGTCAATCCATCTCGGGACCATTCAGTTCCCAACCTGGCACCTCATACTCGTCAGGTCGGGCGCCTTCCGGAATCCTGTTTGTGGATCGCCCTCCGCATGCCATTAGACCACAGCTGTACAGCGATATACACTCAACTCCACTCGACATCAGCGTCACCACACAGCATTCGAGTTTTGGATGACACGAACCAGAAAAAAATTCATACATAATTGAACAGGAAACGACCGATGTTGTCTAGGGGCAAGCACATTGTCCGCAGGTGGTTACAGGTATTGTGAGAAATTCGGGTTATTGATACATCGCCATAGTGTATGTAAATATGGGAGTCGCTTTACAAGCACGCTTATTTGTTGTAGTCTCATTTTACTGTGCCAAAGCTATTCATATACCTTCATCTTGAACAGTAGCACAAATAGAAACGCAAGTGATTTGCAATCAAATATCGCACAATGCACAAGATCGTTTGCAAGTCAACAGCACAGCGACACCTTTTACGTGTGTAGCGACGAACGTATGTTGGCCAGGAGCCATGTCTGGAGCACAGACCAGTCGTCTTGCATACAAGACGTGGGATCATAAAAGAGAGCATGAAGGCAAGTTACCGCAGTTTTCCAGTTAGATTGGTGCGACGATGAGAGGTTAGCATCCGCATGCCGATAACTCCACTAAAGGCACATTTTTCCATCCTGCATCCACTTTCAGCCAGGCATCGAGTGGTTTGTCCCCACTCATGAATTTGCCATCCTCGTAACGAAGAACCTGTCGGCGCAATTAGGGACAATGAGGAGCATAGAACTTGCCACCATGCACTAAGGAATGCGTCTGCGCCCAGCGACGTGATTGGGACAAGCTTCCTGAACACAAACTCGACTGCCGCTTTCAGCCTCCCGTCTTGAATGCCTAGAGACCTCCTGATTTTTGTCATGAACGTCTCGTCAAACTTGTGGAACTGGCCCGACCATGTCGGGATGTAGTCTTTCACCGTTGATTCCTTGTTTGCAATGGCATACACGTTCTAGAGTATCTCGTCCTCGCTCTGACGGTTCACGCAGACTGCTCCTCAGTTGCAATGTAAAACCATAAAGGAGCATCAGCAAGTTTTTGAATGCCTTCCTCGACGAATTGGGAGATCCTCGATAGAATATGATATCATGTTTCGCAGTCTAGACAGAGGGTGACTCACTCTGAGATAACGTCCCCAGTCTGTCGAGTGTTTGGACTTTGTCACATGATTGTAGCGACGAATCACGAATGAGTCTGTGACTGCGTAAGTTACGATAAAGAATGCGTTTGACGTTGTGAGCAGTCAGCCGTCTCACATAGTGTTTGCTTGGAGGAACATGAGCAGTCATGTAATTTACGCGTACAGTTCAGAAGACGTACGCAGCATAATTTGTTTGACTTGCATTCCCAACGGTACCGACCCTGAGAATGAGATTTAGCTTGTTCACGAAGCCAAGACCCTAACCTTAGGATCGAATGGAGCATCGAAGTTCTCAGCGGATAGCCCAGAAAAGAGACCATCTACCACAACCACGAGAGGAAGATGCATCCCCCAACGAACCCTGGAGTTGTTCCACAACACTTTCATGTCAGGCTCGTACAAAGCGTTGATTGCCTCGAAGCGCAGATTTGGATCAGGCAGGTCTTGAGATGTACGATGATGCACTGAGATGCAGTTCTCCCCTACGCCGAATTCCGGCATGCTTGGACAGTGAGGTCAGAACAAATTCCTGTTTGTTTCCTGTACAAAAAACGGGTCGCATTGCTGTCTAGTCCGTATAGTTCCCAATGATTAAACATGACAATGATGACAAGATATAGTTAACATTCAGTTGTCAAGGATCAGAAGTAAGAACCTCTTCCATTGATTCAAGTAATTCATCACATCCTCCGTCTTCACGATATTAGAGTTGTAATCAGCGCCAAGGTCGATCACGCCCCCCCAGGAGGAGAGACGAAAGAATCTAAGTGTTCCAGTTAATTGCATTGCAGAACCACTAAGATCTAGAAAACTCACGGGCCGGGGTCTAATCTGTTCAGTGATGTGAAAAACTTGTTCACTGTAAGGACGGGTTTCCCAGTGTCATCCGCAAAAGTGTGATTCAAGTAGTTCTCCCCTTTGCCGTCACTGGAAAATGAGTAACACTGGTTGGGCGGGCAACCTGCTACGATATTACCAAAAAGTAAACTATTCGTAACCTGCACGTACATGTTTGTAGATGCAGCATGCACATTGATCATGGCAAATGCTTCACAACCCTGCGGCATGCAACTCAACCCGGCGGGCAATTCTATAAGGGCTCGATACTGTCCCTTGGCTATGTCTGCTACCCGTAAAAGTATGTCCCTGTCCAATGGCAAGACACTTCCGTCAGCGGACAAGAACGCTGATACCGAATCCTGGCTATGGAAATGCCAAGAGCATAACCTGGATGTAGCGCGTGTTTCGGATCCAAACCGGCCTCGGAAATTAGCCATAGATGTGTTGTTCAAGTAGTGAGAGGGAAGACAGAGAATTGGGTGGATTATCGGCTTATAACGACCATTGCTAACGCAGCGTGGGCTAGTAGATTCTCAATCCGACATACTGATAAAGGGGATGCGGCTACATACCAAGGTGTGTAAGTGTGAACCCAGATATTTTCGAGGCAGCCAGAATTCTTTCTGATTCTTCCCTCGTGAAGAGGACCTCGGCGCGACACGTCTTCGGCCACTTTGTATCTTTGGGGCGGAGCGCTAATCCGTATTTATCCTTGTGGTCAATGATTAGCAGCGAAAAAAGATCTGAAGAGAAAATGAATAGCACCTTCGTCGACGCGCCCCAGGCAGAGAGGACACTTCCAAGGGACCTTGTAGTAATCATGGTCAAAGCAAGGGTCTTCTAGCGAGTCTGGCGAAATGGGAAGGGATTCTTTGAGAGTTCAGGATGTTGTAGGCTGCCGGAGGGATGTTCCCCAGCTCATTTCCCCATTCCATAAACTCGGACGCGCTATAGGAGTCGGAGAGCACCTTCGCCAATTGTGCGAGGTAGCGATTCACAACGATCTTTAAACCTGCACCATCAACACAGTCGAGTGATGAGTATGGAATAGCAGAAAAATTTGGGACTATCCCATTTGCGATTTCGCCAGGGACAAGGTGCATCCATGATAATCTCCTTCAGATGAGGGACCTTCTTCAGACCCTCGTTGATCCGCAATTGGTTGAGGTCGATATGTGAGGGTGGATGAATAATGAGAGTGCGCTGCACCCACCGGCTGATCTCTTGCGGACTCGCCGTTGTATAGATCAACATGGGCAGCTTGTAATCGGATTCATTTAGTATGGATGACGCGATGGTAGGAACTTGGAAGCGAAGCCAGGACCAACATTCTTGAGCGGAAGAGCTGAGCTTGGTGATGCTCATAGTGTCATGCAAGTCGATAGTGACTCCAAAGAATAACGTTTGATCGCCCTTGAGATAGCGGTTGCAAATCTCGTGGACAAGCTCACCGCCTCCAAGAGGACGAGTAATCCATTCCGGACGCCTTCACCTTTAAAGGGCTTCCATTTGAACTGTTCTAAGTCGTAACGAATCAAGATATTAGCCATCCGAGTCGGTAGTATGCCAAGTTGTCTCAGTGACTGAGGCTGAAGCGCTGAACAAGTTTCATAGAAGGCTTAACGTTCATCATTGTTCGGTACCCTAGTAATGGCATACATGCCAGTGCAGGAATCGGTCGTTAAAGAAGACAGATTCACCCTCTTAACTTTCTCAGGCCAATACCATTACATAATAATGGATGCACGAAACTGGTGAACTGGTGAAGAAAGTAGAAGTCCACATATCACAATTTGAATTAGTATGATTCTGTTATCGAGAATAACATCGACATCTTTGCCCTTGTAAACTCGGAGGAAATGAGGTTTTTTTTTGAAACTTGAAGATCAAGACACAGTACCAATATCGCTCGAACGGGAAGGTGGAACAAAAGCTGATGGTTGACCGACATGAATCAAAGCTGCCATACTGTTGGTAAGGTTCACCATATCGAAGCTAAGACTGAAAGCTCGTAACTTTCAAGGGTACGAGGATGTGTTAACCTCAGTGGAAGACATACATGTGCGTCTTCTGTTAAATCTCGATGTATTTCCTTGACAAGCCAAGTTAGCCAACGTCCCTGCAAGACGGCTCCATTAAGATTGCATATGCCGCCTACATTCAATTAGAGAACCGCGTTTGAAGATAAAATGTTGGACTCAGTAACGGCCCAGGAACATGGTAATCAGAACCCAATGCCAGTGAACTCGCCTTGCGCGGTGGAACATGGGCTCAAGGCGGCCTATAGACACATTGACTGTTCTTTGTAGGAAGCTTTGCCTTGATTTTGATGAGCAAATCCCAGAATTTACACGAGGGGAATGAGGCACATGCACAGTTAATGACTCACTATGTGGTGCAGACCGGTGGACGACACGTGCGGGTGATCCGACAGCTGACCCAAGCTCGTGATAAAGGCGTATGGCTCAACAGACATGTCTGTGCAAACGTTCAAAGGCAAGGAAGAGCCGAACGGCTACAGCCTTCCTTGTAGACAGCATGAAGTAATCTCCCTTCAGGTTGTAAAGATATCATGCGACTATAGCAAGGGAACAAGGAGGCAGGGCGAGCGTAGACATCAGACCCATTTTATTGGCAAGAGTCGATCTAGTGAAGTAGCCTAATCTGAAATTTAATTGACACGACAATCAAACACGCAATGACAAGCTCAGCGATCCAGCTTGAGAAAACACGGGGCTTCAAGAGTAACCCAAACCTTGGGGTACGTCATATTCACTTGATACTGACATATCAGCGATGCGATGGGCTTTAATGCAGGTAGTATAGCGTCAAAGCATGGTGTGACATGAGGTACCATAAGAAGCATGACATGAAGTGTGGATGATGTACGGGGATTATTTTAGGCAGTCCTGATGAATTGCATGAGCGCAGATCATGCAGGATGACAGTTCAAAACATACTTGGTGTGCGAGGCTTTGATGGCTGCAACCTTGGCCTTCTTCTCAGCAACACGCTTTTGCATGAGGGCACTAAATGAGAGGTTACTATGGCAAGTTTCGTGCAAACAATTATCACTGACTCGTATTCTGCCTTCTGCTCTTTCTGGCGGTCGATCCGGCGACGGTTAAGAGAACGGAGGTGACGGGCGCGTTGCAGACGGATGGGAGTGACCAATCTTTGGATTTTGGGTCTGGGTAGGGAGAAAAATTCAGCCCAGAAAGAAAGGGAGGTGACTTTACACTGACGCTTTGGTGTAAGGTTTGGCGTTCTCCTTCTTCGAACTCTTCACCTCACGCCTTACAACGTACTTCCTGACATCATCCTCCTTCGACAAGTTGAAGAACCTTCTGATCTTTGTTGCCCCTTTTAGGACCAAGTCGCTTGGGCAGAACGGTGTCGGTGAGCCCAGGGACATCATTGTCGCCCTGTTTAACGATAACGACGGAGAGGACGGCAATGTCAGGGCCAACGATGCAACCACGGACGGACTTGCGCTTCCTCTCGCCTGAGCGGCTTGCACGGTAGCAAGTGTGGTTATCGGTCAAAAGCAGTCTGATACGAGAGGGGAGCAGGACACCCTGCATCATGGGGAAACCCTGCTTGTCGTTACCACCAGTGATACGGAAAATGTAACCCTTCCATTCGTCTCCAAGGATGTCCGCCTCGACCTCTTGCGAGATCTTCTTGTCGAAGAAGATACGGCTAGTTTGAAGTACTTTGGTTAGTATTCAAAGGAAGAGTTGTGCCAATCGTACTATCTTCTCTCTTCATCGATATTAATGGTCTTTTGAGCCCCAGTGGCGGGGTCTGTATCAAAGGTCAGTTCATCGCATTGGTACATGTTGGACATTGAAGTTTGAACGCACTGGCAATGTTGATCTTCATACTGCCCACGTAGAATTGTCAATACAAGCTCAAAATTGACATCAGCATCGATAATTCACCTTACGAAAGGAGAAAAGGCCTTATCACCGTGGGCTGCAGCGACGAGGAGGAGTCTTGATCTTGCTGGTTAGCCAGGGCCTTGTATTCAACAGTGGCAGATTCCGGCTTGTGGCTGAAGTGGAAAATAAGGTTTGCTGCTATACAGTTGCTAAGCCACACACTAACCCGTCACGCGTCACATTACCTTTCCGTGAACGCGTCCAACGACACTCCTCAAGACATCCTCTCCGCCAACAAAAACTGTGAGTGTTCTGCAAAGTAGAATTGTTTCAAGCTGAACAGATGTTATAGATTCATCATGGGTCGTATGCACGCTCCTGGCAAGGGCATTTGTACGTAGCAAAATATCTTCTATTGATACATGGAATGTATCTTGATCATCTTCACTAGCGTCCTCTGCCCTCCCTTACAAACGTTCCCCTCCTTCATGGCTCAAGACTACGCCAGATGAAGTCGTCGAGCATATCATGAAATTGGCTCGCAAGGGTCTCACTCCCTCTCAGATCGGTGTTACCCTGCGTGACTCGCATGGTATCCCTCAAGTGCGCTTCGTCACTGGTAACAAAATTCTCCGTATCCTCAAATCCAACGGTGAGCGCTTCATTGACGGGTTAGTTCTCCAAACACTCATGCATTGAATTATCATCCGCTTCGTTGCCGTGCATTGCTGCTACTGCATCTTGTTTTGTACATGCCTTTTGTTTGGGGATAGGATTGGCACCATCCATCCCAGAGGACCTTTGGCACCTCGTCAAAAAGGCGGTGGCCGTGCGCAAGCACCTTGAAGTCAACCGCAAAGACAAGGACTCCAAGTTCCGTCTTATCTTGATCGAGTCTCGCATTCACCGTCTTGCTCGTTACTACAAGACGAAGCAGCAGATCCCTCCTACATTCAAGTATGACTCTGCTACGGCTTCTACTTTGATTGCGTAAGCAGTAGTGGGCTCTGGCGTGGCTGTTGGAGCAAATCATATTCTGATATTTGTCGCACAATTCCTTCACCGATATCATGCAAAAAATTAGGCTTATGCAGAACTATGCTCAAATATCCGGGCTCGTGATTAAGGAGAACGTAAACCCAGATTTCAAGTTATCGTTGGTATTCCATTTCTATCGCTCACCGGCTCTTACATTGCCGACTACTAGCTAACTGACGACCGCTTGGCGGTGATAGCGTTCAACGTTTAACCCTGTCAGTGTTTCCAAGCGCAGTTCTTCAATGGAATGTTAGCAGCATGGCAGTGCCACATCATGATGCTGAAGTTGAACTCAAGACTCTCTACATCAACATCCGAAGTTCCATGGAGGTATCGATTGTCGCCTTGATTTCATGTAAGAACAATAGCATTGTTCTGGTTTAAAAGCGAACCATAAAATGCATTTTCTTGCCCACAATCGACGAATGTGCTTTTTATTTCCTATCAGTAACCTGTTCAGTTCCGAACTTGGCATCATGGTCAATAGTAGTGCCACTGGTCCTCGCAGCGTTTATTTCGCCTCCGGGCCCAACACTCCACTTTCAGGTGGCTCTGCTGCTGTTAGCGAACATGCAACGGTCACATCCCGGACATGGTGTGGTTCCACAAGTTTGACGAGACGTTTACGACAAAAATCAGGAGGTCGCTAGGAATTCAAGATACTGATGCTGAGAGGGGCAGTCGCGTTTTGTATATATCGTATTCGGGAAGCTTATTCCAATCACACCGCTGAATGGAGACGATTTTCTCAGTGCATGGTGGCAAGTTGTCCTATGTATGTCTGATTTTTCTTGTGGTATTCGTTGTCTCTAACCGTGTTGACAGGTCATTATACCCTCTGGAAGCACGACGTCCATACACCGCGACATAAGTCCTAACAATCTCATGGTCTACTGGTTGACACGGCCAATGGATCGGGGTCCTCAACGATTACGACTTATCATCGATCAAACGTGATGGGCCCAGAGGGAAGCAGGTCACAGGAACAGTTCCATTCATGGTAGTTGACCTGCTCTCCCAACCTGTCCTCGAAGGCAAAGCCACACACTTGTACCGGCACGATGCTGAATCGTTAGTGTGAGTCCTCGTGTGGGTCTGTCTTAGGGTACCAAGGAGGCAAGTTGTTGAGTAATGGCAGACTGCTCAATGACTGGCACAAATTGGATGCTCCTGGATGCTGGAAGGAAAACCAGCCTTTCTGGGCCACATTCGGCACGGGAAGGCCGAGGACAGCGACATAAAACCTCCGTTGTCACATCACTCTAACTGGAGAATAGCGGGAGCTTGCCTGGACATAATCCATTATACTCCCGTGGCCAAAATGGACGAATTAAATGGGCCTATTCTTCGGAAATGGCTCCTGGATAACGTGGAGTCTGTCGCTCCGGCCATGATAGCTCGTCATCCCATCAATGCATCATAAGGTTCATTCAGTTCGGTAACTGTGGCATATTTGTACATTTATGGGTAAAGAAAACACTGAGGTATGAGGCGTGCGCTAACAGTGGTATCAATCTATGCATAAGTGTGAGCAACGAAGCTTAATAAGTATGAGTGCGTACACGTTTAGGCCACATAGCCTTGAACTTTTCATGGAACTCTTCGAGCGCACCGTTAACCACTTCAAAAACTCTCCAGTCCGCGCCCGACACTCCTCGCGGTCGCTGCGAATCATGAGTCAATTCACCCCTTCCCTGCTTCCCAGATGCGTCGTCCTCCTCTTCTTCATCCTCCCACTGG